TGCAGGTTTTGTGTCAAGAGAATGATATAATGGAATGTATTGCTGGTTTTGTATCTAGAAAATGATATAATGGAATATATTGCTGGTTTTGTATCAAGAAAATTATATAATGGAATATATTGCAGGTTTTGTATCAAGAAAATGACATAATGGAATATTTTGCTGGCTTTGTATCAAGAAAATGATATAATGGAATATATTGCAGGTTTTGTGTCAAGAAAATGATATAATGGAATATATTGCTGGTTTTGTGTCAAGAAAATGACCAATTCAGTAGCCACAAATGTAAACTGGAATTATATTACAGTGAGAACCAGATAACTATAGAATAGGAAGACGACATTAAGCAATAATTAAGTGTATTTACATAAAGTGATATGGGCCTGTTTGTGCTACACAAATGGTGTGTCTCATGTTAATTGGACTGTATAAAGTCATAAATTAAGTATTAAACACATATATAAATAAATAAACATAGATAGCTTATGTACGCAAAATCACCAAGAATTTTACAGTCCGCGAACTCATACTTCTGGGGGTCAAAGTGTACTTCAATGATAAGCGGGCTGGTTTGGTGTTTTAATGGATTTTATAATAGAGTTTAAAATAACTCCGGGAATGGAACTATTTGAACATCAATATTTCACTGAGCAATTTATCATATTGACGAGAACTGAAGAACTAACTTAAATTTCTCTCTACAGAACTCATGTACACCACAAGTACTCAATGACATAAGAACAGCCAATTTAATAGGAATACATCTCTGTACATTTATATCTTTCAAGATGAAAAATGTCGTCTTATGCGCAATCTATCTTTATCTATGATTAAAGACGTCTTTCTATTCCAGAGTTTTCAGGTTATCACAGTCTTTTCTAAGAAAAATAGGCTGTAAAACAAAATTTGAAAATAGGCTGTAAAACAAAATTTGAAAATAGGCTGTAAAACAAAATTTGAAAATAGACTGTAAAACAAAATTTGAAAATAGACTGTAAAACAAAATTTGAAAATAGACTGTAAAACAAAATTTGAAAATAGACTGTAAAACAAAATTTTAAAGGATTACCTGAAAATAAGATTTTTTAATCGTTATCCCTTTTTTGAATGCTTCTTGTCAACAAACAAATTTTAGGCAAATCATCTATTCCATCTTAAATTGTCCTTCCTATTTTTTAGCCATGATCATAAATATAACCTTGTACGGAAAATAGTCATTTGTTATTTATTTGTCCATTTGAGACACTTTGTTAAACAAAAAAATCAAAAAGTAGCTAAAGAAAATGCGAGAACCAAGTTTAATAAACTTACCCTTTTTTAAAACCAATAAACATTATTTAAATGATTACTGGTTATTTTAAATTTGTAATCTATAGTTATGATGAGACTTTAGAAACGACTGTAGTGAATTTATGCATCTGAATTTTTATATTTATGATTATAAACTGTAAAGTTGTTTCTTTCTTTGTCAAATCATTAAATAAGCCATTACATCCCTATATTTTAGGCAAAATATTTAATTTGAACTTGGAGTCGTCATACTTTAAGAGTTTTCCTTTGAAGGAGTGTATGCAAAAAAGTTTGCAACATGTACGCATTCAGGCAGTGGCTTGAGGGCTTAGGCCACATAGATTCAGCCTCCTTATAAACAGTCTCATCAATTTTAAAGACAGGGCTGACTTTGAAGTGTCGCAACGCCCTAAGCTTAGATTTTATCGCTCTAACTCACTTATGCTTTTCTGTAGCCCTTTACATGTTCATTTTAGCACTGTAAAGCACTTCTTGTTAGATTTGGTTTTTTAGAAGTAATTGGCAAAATTCTCAACGATTTTTGCTAGAGAGCGTGAGACCATTAAATCGCAGTGAGGCAGAATTAGTTGGTGTTTAAGTGCGCGATTTTAGGCCTAAAAGGAGGGCTATGAGAATTTAGGAAAAGTCCGAAAATTTTAACAATCTCTAACCAATATTTTTTAAGTCATGTAAAAAAACTACAGGGGGTGGGGTGTAAAATTGCCCCCCCCCCCCCCCGATCTATTAATGAGAAGGAAAAGTAGCTCACAATTGTGTTGAATATTAAGAATCCAATTTGCTCAATGAGCAATCACCGCCACCTAAACGCGCTCCTCAATTGGTAATCTCCACTACCTCAATTGGTAATTAGACAAAAATAACGTAACATTAAATCGTCAGGGGAATATTCAGGAATTTGTCCAAGGTGGGGCTTACATTTTTTTCTTTTTAAGGGGGGGGCTGAATACGCCTCTGTAAATCTTTTATTTCTCAGAAATAAGACCATATTGACCACTGGTAATGGCCCTTTGGTGTACAATATTGATACTTTCTTTATTGCTCCTCTGTTTCGAAAATAACTACCTATTGGCAAAAAGCCCTAACCTTATATTTGTCAGAACGGGGCTGATTTTGTTATTATTGATCTTATAAAATCATATACATAGAGTAAATTGCGATAAGAAATTTCTTAAATATAAATTCTAACCTTAGTGTGTTTCAATATATGTATGTTTGCACGTTTTAAATACTAATTCATTTAAATGTATTTGTGTTTTTTCGTTAATAAAAGTTTGAAGAAGAAGTTTTTGAAAATATCTTTTAAATGGCCAGCTAGATATTACTTTGGGTGGATCGAGATAATTTTTAGTAAACAGGGAGCCCGAACTTTTATTATCTTAACTCCAATAATGATATGCAGTCATTAAATCAGCGAATTGGATCTAAGATTCGGCTAAAACGAAATATGACTTATTTCTCAGTTTCTGTTGACCATAACCAATCTGAAAACAAATAAAAAATTTAGTTTGTCAATACAAATGCCATGAAACCCCCATAGATTTCGAAAATTTTGTTAAAAATGCATTAAAATTAAAATCTCAGAAAAGAAGATTTTACGATTGAGGAATTGTGGAGATTACCAATTGGGAAGCGCATGCCGCAAAACATGTTTGGGTGGCGAAGATTACTCATTGAGGACTTCTTAACCCCCCCCCCCCCCCCTCCCCAATTGTCGAACTTACACATATGAAACATTCATCTTAAAACTCATGACGCATGTTGTTTATTTTTGTCATGCATGGAGCTGCGTAATAACCTAAATTTACTGCGTCAATTGTATTAAGCAATAGCATACTATTACATATTCTATACAACTACGCATTTGTTTCAGAAACAGGGTGTCCCACGAAACATGACAGTAGCAAGACGACTTGCTTACAATTGAACTTTCTATTCAAACAATTTTCGCATTCAAAATGTGTTTCAAATGTTACTTAATTGAATCAATATATTTTTAAAAAGGGACGGACTTCTTGCCACAAACTCTGATCTTTTGATTCTCTATATCTTTGCAACCCGATATACTAGACCTTTGATATTTCAAACTATGAAATCTGTGAGATCAAATAGTCGGAATTTGAAATATTAAAGGTTTACACCGACAGGTTTGCAATAGAAATTATTTATTAGAAAATTATTTTGTGACAAAAACTGAGTTCCCTTAAGGATTAAAATAGCATAAATATTTTAATGTACAGGGTGTCCCACATCAAATTAGACCGCGTCAATGGGTCTAAATTACGATTTGGGGGACAAATCAGAAAATTTAAAAAGAATGAATCATTTTGAAAAATTTAATAAGGTTAATAGAATTTATTTTTTGCTGAAAATGCTAGATTTTTCGAGTATTATGTGCGTATATTTAGGTGTTAAAGATTGGAGATAATCTAATATGATATGGGACGCTCTGTATGTGCCACAAACTATTTTTGTTATTTCATATTTTCCTATTTTTAGACGTGAACATCAACTCTTCAAACCAAACCGTTCTGAATCAGACTTGATGGAGGGTCCCATGAAATTTAGTCGATAATCTGGGACGTAACTTAGAGCGACTCCCTTTGTAAAAATCCCATAAAGTGTTAGTTTAACATAATTTTAAAGAAAAAGTGACTGTGGATTTCTCCAGACAAGACTTATAATCTTCATCTTTTATATAAAATCCCCAGAATTTCTTCATGTCCCTAGTTTTTATAAATTTTAAATGAAATAATTTCCAAATTTAACAAAGAATAGCTACCAACTTTATTCATGACAAATAGACGAATACAGTATTAATACATAAATCATAAAACCATCTATAAAATAAAACATGTAAATCTTATAAAAAAATTATGTTCAATTGAGGAATGAAAAAATTCCTAAAACGTCACTAAAACAATAAACTGATTTTTCTAATAACAATGTTTACAAACAAAAATGCAATGTCTCTAATTTTGATTATATAATACATCCCTAAAATGCATATGCACAGAATTGTTTCTAGGAACTGGGGGCTTAGGTATTCCAACCATCGTGCATCTTAGATTGTCCTGCAGATCCGGACATCCAAAGTAAGTGTCAAAAAACCATTCAGCAATTTATATATAACCATATTATCCAGGATTTTAAATTTGATTTTAACTTTAACATTGACTCCAACATTAATAGCTTGAATGGCCATCCTAGAGATTCAAAAGAACAAATTGATGAAAAAAATTACAATTTAAATGGTATTTTAGTTTTTTTTTGAGAGGTCTGGCCTCCTTTATGAGCTCCCAGAGTTATCGGAGTTTCCACCAGGGGGCGGAAACGTCATGTGTGTGTGTCTGTACCAAAAGAGTGTGTGTAAGGTTACCGTACCAAAGGTGTGTACTGTAGGTTTATACAGTACGAAAGAATCTCGGTATTTGTTCAGTCTAGGAGAGTACATTTGTTTATTGTTAATTGTTAACTTAAAAATAAGGTTAATATGCATGTAATATATTATTTATACATTTAAGTCGACACTATAAGCCAAATTTTCATGCAAAGAATAAAATTTGATTAAAGTTTACAATAAACTACTCGTTATTCAAGTTTAATTATAATTGACGACATTGTACTCCAATTTCCTTGACTGTAGTCATGTTGTATGTCTGTACCAAAAGAGTGTGTGTAAGGTTACCGTACTGGTCTGCAAAGCAGTGCGACTGGCTTTCTCATGCCAGACCAGCGCCATTTCCTTTCCCGTTATTCCTATTCCCTGGTTTTCACTAGTTTAACTCTCTACAGCTCCCAGAGTTTCCACTAGTTGATCTCTCTAGAGCTTCCAGAGTTTCGACTAGTTGAACTTTCTACAACTCCCGGAGTTGAGCTCTCTATTGCTTCCTATTGGTGGTGACCTGAACGCCTACACTAGAGAGTAGTTCCTCCTGATGATAAGCCTTGAATAAAAACAGATGAAAATAATCCAGAAATAAAGCATGGGTCAGCTTGTGTTTACCTTCATATGATAATCTAGGTTGTAAACTTCCTTTTTGCAGATTAAACATTCAGTTTTTAGCTGTATACCTTGGTGAACTCTCTACAATAAAACTAGTGTAAATTATGGTAAATTAGCTTAATTTTGAAGCCTCATTTTTCATTGAAATGGCCTCAGAAAAACGAGTAACCCGGCCCACCAGCACCCCATTAGATATTAAAACCACCAATGAGTAAAATGTTTGATTCTGTAATTGAAACTTTTGAATTCTGGAGGTTATTTCTGGCAACATTGAGGTATCTCATGTGTATTTATTATTTCTTACCTTAATATGAATACCAAGATTAAAACTGTTTGTACATCTATAAACACATTCTGCACACTGGAAGTCTTTGGTTTTCAGATGTACGCCATTTATGTGTCGTTTTAAATGGTAGGACATTGTAAATGTTTTGTCACATTGATCACATTGGAATAATCGCCTCTCTGCTTCTGATATAGTGCAATAACCAATCTTCATGTGTCGATTCAAATCTTTCACAGTTTTGTTGCATAGCTCACATACACCAGGCTAAAATAATAAGATTTAATTTAATGCTGCTTTTCAAATGTTAAGTTAATATGAGTTTCAATATATAAAATGGTAATTTCGTTGGTCTGTGTCTTTATTCGTCCGATCATAACTCAGGAACCCCTGTACAGATTTGCCTCAATTTTGATTGGGGAACTCGGGAGGCCCACGGGAAAGTTCTTAGCTTGCTTTAAGGATTTTAAGTTGAGTGGGTCGACTTTAAAAGCGAAAATATAGTTTCCTGGTAAACTCGCTCAAGTTCAGTTAAAGGACGGTTCGGTAACTTTTAGTAACTTTTTTAAATATAAAGTAGAAATCTCTGTTTGTGTATATGTCCGATCATAACTCATGAACCTCTTGGCTGATTTGCAACAAATTCTGATTAAAAAACTTGGTTTGACCACAGGAATGTTGTTGGTTTAATTTAAAAATTCTATGTTGAGTGGAATGACGATTTCAAGGAAAATTAAGTTTTCGTGCAAAGCTGGGTTCCCGAAATTGTTTGTGATAGTTTTACATCAAATGTTGGAAATTCCAATGATGAGTGTGGTGAGGGGGGGTGTTACCTTGCTATGGACCCTTCTGAAATGAGTGCTCACAGATCCGCTGATTGTTGATGTAAAATTACAAGCAGAACATTTCTTTGCTTCTCTTTCAGTGTGAACTAAACAAATAAAATATATCAAATATTTCTTTTTTTTAGTCAAGATAAGCCAGCACTTAAGTTCTTAACATATATTTTTTGATGGAAAGGTTTTTTTAAACAAAATTTGATGAAAAGGACCAACGGTATTTTCCATTCTAGTCTTTATCTTATTATTTTATGATAAAAATATCTTTATCCCTATTTTAAAATGTATTACTTAAATTACTTCATGCAACGGCATTTTGGGAAAGAAACTCGCGCATTTGAGAAATGACAAGTTGTGAATAGTAATGATGTAAACTTCTTATGGGTTGAGTCCTTAGAATTACATTTAGAAACTGCCTTTCTTGTATTTTGTAAATTTGAGACAAAGAATGTGATAAAGGTTTACCTGCGTAAATATGAGGTTGTAAAAACTTATAAGTTTTACCACAGTAAGGACACACTTCACCAGGGATCTTTTTGTTACAAAATTTTTGATGTCGCTTCACCCGGATCTCGTCTCTAAATAAGTTGGCTTAGTTTTGTTCTTTTGTTATTTAGATCTACATAAAAAAGTACTACTTTCAGGGACTGCAAACACAGTTTCAAGTTATGGTTCAATTCACAATGGTTTCAATAATCCTTCATCTAGCTACAAGGAGGAACATATTCTCGTTTTTCTAGCCAGAAAACCGTTAAATTCTGACAACTTCATTTTCTCTCTCCAATCGGTCAAATTAATTTAAGACAGAAATATTGGGATAACTTCATTATTTTTGTTCAAACAAAGGTTTAAAAGGTACTTAAGGTAAATCAGACATGCTATGGAAGATAACTCCCCTACAAACACAAAGCAGAGTTAAATCCGGATAAAAACCGATTATTTTTAAACCAGAAACCGGATAAAAACCGCGTACTAAAAACGTTTTTAAGACGGTTTTACAGAGTGTTTTAAGACATCAAAAACAGGGTTTTAACGGTTTAAAATCTTTTTTTTTTGGAATAAAGTTGAGTTAAAATCATATTTTAACGGTGCTATGGAAGATAATTCAGAACTACGTCTACAGTCCCTTTACTACTCAGAACTACGTCAACAGTCCCTTTACTACTCAGAACTACGTCTACAGACCCTTTACAACTCAGAACTACGTCTACAGACCCTTTACTACTCAGAACTAAGTCTACAGACCTTTTACTACTCAGAACTACGTCTACAGTCCCTTTACTACTCAGAACTACGTCTACAAACCCTTTACTACTCAGAACTACGTCTACAGTCCCTTTACTACTCAGAACTACGTCAACAGTCCCTTTACTACTCAGAAGTACGTCTACAGTCCCTTTACTACTCAGGACTACGTCTACAGTCCCTTTACTGTTCAGAACTACGTCAACAGTCCCTTTACTACTCAGGACCACGTCAACAGTCCCTTTACTATTCAGAACTACGTCTACAGACCCTTTACTACTCAGAACTACGTCTACAGACCCTTTACTATTCAGAACTAAGTCTACAGACCCTTTACTACTCAGAACTACGTCTACAGACCCTTTACTATTTAGAACTACTCTACAGACCCTTTACTACTCAGAACTATGTCTACAGTCCCTTTACTACTCAGAACTACGTCTACAGTCCCTTTACTACTCAGGACTTTTTCATAAAAAAAATTAAGATATATCTTTCAAAAAAGCTTTGGACATTTTTCATTTAAATATAACATATTTGTTTAATTTTAAAAACGTTTGATGAAATATATAATTATACAAAAAATGTCAGAAAACTATACCGGAATTTCTTTTTGCAAATATTACATGAAGCCATGGCATGTGTTTCCATGTGTTCAACGTGTTTAATGAATCCAGTGCTGACAACTCCACAATCAGTACAGAGTATAGAAGCGGGGGGTTCCTCGCTGTGCTCGCGTTTTATGTGATTCATAATTATCTTCCAGGAGTTCTTACTAAATCCGACAACAGCTCAATATCCCTTCAGAAAATTTTGACAATAAATGTTTAATAATAATAATAATTACCATTTAACCATTATTCCATGAAAATTATCCTTATTAAGCTGTCAAAATTGTTATAATAGCCGAACAAATTAAACTTTGTTCTGCAAAGGGACCGTGGAGGGTTTTATTTTTTCAGAAATAGTAGCTTAGTCCTAAAACCATTTCTTGATTGATTCACCTAACAAAATTGTGAGATCTTACATAATGACCCCAGATTATTGAAGAAAATGTATAAATAAGCGAAACACCACGATTTTTTATAGCATTTCTAAAGGTTCAGAATTTAATTTTTTCATTTGCGCAAAGATCTGAGCTGTGTTCCTGACGGGACAATGGGGGCAAGTAAACTTTGACCCATTGCATTTATCAAGATGTTTACTCATTGAACCTTTATTCTCCAGTACAATCTTCTTTAAACAGTTAGGGCACTCAACTCTAAACAAACATTATAGTATCATATTCTCAATTACAATCTTCTTCAAACAGTTAGGGCAATCTATTCTAAACATTACATATATCATTAATATCATCATTAACAATCAACTAACAGACAAAGTTCCATGATCTATAGGTTACAATACAAAGAAAACAAGATTGAGCTCCACCACTTGCAATGGTAACTATAAATGGTTCAGATTTGGCCTGATTTTTTAAAGAATTCAGCGTGTATGGTAGAAATGCATGAATACTGAAAAAAAGTGCTATAATACCATAGTACAATCATCAATTGAATTTGTGATGGCAGTTTTTCAAATTAATTTAAGTTCGATACTTTTTCTTTTTCTTCTTTTTCTTGGTATCTCCTGGAGGGGTAAAGGATGTTTCTTCATAATCAGGATCCGGTTCAATAATATTTCCTTTTAAATCCTTCTCTTCCGCCAGGTCCTCCACCTCCTCCTCCTCCATGTCGTTGTCCTCCTTAAGGTCAAAGAGGTCCCCCAGGTCCCCAACAATCTCACCATCTTCATCAAGTTCATCCTCTCTTACTACATCATTATCTAGAAAATCAAAATAGAGAACATATAAATATATACATAATACAAAAACAATACATACTAGGTTGGGAACTCAGCTCACTCTAAAACAACTTTATCTATAAAATTCAACCAAGTTGACTTACAAACTTTTAAAACAAGCTTAAAACATTTCCCTTGTTCCCCAAATCGGTCCAGAGGTTCAAACAGACAAGTATAGATTACTCCTTAATTCACATAGAAGCATAAATAAATTAATAGATAAATAAATAAAATGGTCAACCATCATCCCGAAGGAGTCAGGGTTATATAAAACACAACCTTTCCATACATTTTTTTGATAAACCGTACCTTAAATTAATTACAAAGTAATTGTTTGCATTCGAATAGATCGAGATAGTATTAAATACTTATATTATGCATTTTTCACAGAATTTATGTATTTTTTCTGTAAAAAGTAAGATTAATTTCTTATTGTTACCTTTTTTAAGTTCAAATATTGGATCTGAGGTTACTTCCTTCTTATGTTTTCTCTCCAAGCATTCAAGTATATTTCTCTCAGCCTGAACAACAGAATATGCTTGGAGTGGAAGGATAAATCTACCGGGTGGGTGGGGGGGAACTTATCCCCCTTTTCCTTTTTTATAAGATTTGGTGAGCAGAGAAAACAAGAAATATTCTTTTTAAGTTTTTTTAGGAAGCTTTTCAATAACTAAAGCTATGCTAGAGAAGAAGATAACTGTTATTTTTTCAACCCAAAAAGCTCAAAACCAACTTTAATGTATAGTTCTGAACGAAAATAAGTCAGGGCCAGAAGTCAAAAGAACAAAAACTGTATGAGAAAGAGCTGACCTCTTTAAAATAATCCTGATCCGTCCATTTTGTTTTCCCCTGGTTTATTTCCTGTAGGATATTACAGTGCAGTTTGTACAGAAGAGAGAAATCATCAAATCTAAAATAATTTTATGTTTAAATAAAACTTCCAAACATGTAATGTTTCATAGATGGATTAAAAATTCTTAAAATTACAAATTGAGTAATAGATGTTTAATTCTAAAAGTTTTAAAAATATTTTGGGAAGAATTGTACAGAATAAAAAAAATATTTTGGAAAGAATTGTACAAAATAAAAAAAATATAATTTTTGTTGTCTTCTTTTTCTTTTCTTTTAAATAAAAATATTATAATTTGTCTCACCTTGACTGAAGGTGAACCAGGAAGGAGAGGTGTTGGATCTTACTCTTACTAGGCTTAGGAAACTTAGAGAACTCAAGCGACAAAATTATCTCCCTTATCAATCAATCAATCAATCAATCAATCAATCAATCAATCAATCATTCATTCATTCATTCAACCGACCAACCAACCAACCACCCCCCAGCCCACCCACCAACTCACACACCCACCCACCCAAATAATTTAAACGTGATAGTATCAAAAGAAAATTTTGTGACGTACCTAAGAGTACCAGCAACAAAGGGAGCAAAGGGTAACTCCTCCGGTGTATAATGTTTTCCGGTCAAACTGGTATCTATGTATTCGCTAGGTATGTACACTATATTTCTCTCCATCTGTATATATTCAAATCTGAAATAAAATATTAACAAAAATAATAAATGAAGGAAATCTATAGTTTTACTCAAATAAAATATAAAAAATTTATGACAAAGTTTATTATAAACAGTTTTCTGTTTTTAACAAAACAAAAAGGTGGCAAAAATTAATAGCCAAGAGACAGCAGAAGTTGTTTAAATGATCCTACAATTCTAAATTCAGGACGGAAACCTTAAAAACTTTGTCTGGTCAAGAATAAATTAAATATTTTTTCCTAGAAAACTGATTAATCATATTGTGGTTTCTCTGCTATGACTTGCGGATTTCTGCTGAGGAAACAATGGAAGTGATTTAAAAATTAAACATTTTTCAAACTAGAAAAAGACAATAATTTCCATATTATTGATCAGATAAAGGTTTAAAGTGATTAGGCCACGACCCTCTTCAAATCGAGGAATACTTGAAGTTACAACAGTAGTCCCTTTAATGTGATTGTCTATAACGTATTGGTGAGGGGGAAGATAAGCTGTGACGCAGCTAACGAAAGATCATCTCCGGTAACTCCTGCTAACAGTTTCAGCTCTTCTTCAGGATCTAAAAAAAGTTAAAATCTCTTTTTTTTAGCAAAAACTATCAAATCAAATGCATTTTTAGAAATTTTTTCACCATTGATAAAAATATTTGAAGAATATCTTAAATTATTTTTTATTAATACAGAAAAATAGGTTAAAAATGAGTTATAAGTGAAAAATGTGTTAGTTCTCTCTAAAATTTGATGTTTTTACTGAATCAACATGTTTAAGTGCAATTAACATATTACTGCATATGTAATTTATCATTTTATGGGTAACTAGAGTAATCTGAAGCAGCATGTTTATGAAAATTGAAAGTAGACAGTTTTATTAAAAACATTTTATACGTACACCTGACACCATTTATTATTAATTTATAATTGTGTAATAAAATAAATCTTAATAATATTAGAGTTGTAAAGAGGATGTAACTGTCTAACTGTAGTAACGGGATGGAAAATAAATATCTTTAAAATTCTTTTCAATTTCTATAGAAGTAAAATTTCTGACCTAAAACTCCATGGTCGGGTTGCAGCATAAGCTTAGCAGATTCTTCTGCAATGAAACCAGAATAATCTGAAACAATTATGAGGATTCGTTTTGTTCTTTAGAAATAGTAGAAAATAAAAAAAATTGGTAAATATTAGATGTTTTTAAGTTGGACTGGAATTTCTAAATTCTCAACCTATTGGGGAATACATATCTTAAAACGTTTTAACCAAATATAATGTGTAAAAATGAAATGCTTGTTATTGCTCTAAAATATTTGGTATTTTTTGTACTCGTATTTTTGAATAATAATAATAAAACTATTAAGGTATTTAGGTCCGACATCTAAGAAAACCGAGTCTTAAAAAAAATATTCAAATGATGAATTTGTAACTTCTTAGTGTTTTTTTTTTTATACCAAATAGCTTGTCTATGTTTTTTGTGATGCCATTTTGAACCAAAATAGATTGAAATAATAATAATAAAATTATTAGGGTAATAAGGTTGATTTGATTTCACAGAAGCCAAAATATAAAAGACTTCAATCCTGGACCTACCTTGATCTTTATGATACTGCTCCAGGTGCCACTGTAGACTGACAACGTTCTTGTTACAGAAGGGACAGGGTAAACTAACTTTCCTCCCTTCATGCACACGTGCTATATGCATCCTTTAACAATGATGTAAAGATAACACAAATATGGTTCAAACATAATTCTTTTCTCAAATCTTGGAAAAGATAAGAATTTACGAAGTGTAATTATTTTGCTATTTTAAAATTCTTAAAATTTTTTTCAAGTTCAGAAAAATTGAGGATTAAAATAAGTCGGAAATCGAATGAAAGAGAAAACGTGTATATTAGATTTGATATTTCACAATGGTAATATTAATTATCATGGTTAAATTGGCTATGGTCAATTATCATGGTTATGATGGCTATGGTCAAATTATCATGGTTATGATGGCTATGGTCAAATTATCATGGTTATGATGGCTATGGTCAAATTATTATGGTTATACTGGCTTTAGTCAAAATATCATGGTTATACTGGCGCGCTATGGTCAAATTATCATGGTTATGATAGCAATGGTCAAATTATCATGGTTAGGATGGCTATGGTCAAATTATCATGGTTATGATGGCTATGGTCGAATTATCATGGTTATGATGGCTATGGTCGAATTATCATGGTTATGATGGCTATGGTCGAATTATCATGGTTATACTGGCTATAGTCAATTTCAAGGTTAGGATCAAACAGAAGTTCAAGGTCGGGGTCAAACAGAAGTTCAAGGTCAGAATTAAACAGAAGTTCAAGGTCAGAATCAAAAAGAAGTTCAAGGTCAGGATCAAAAAGAAGTTCAAGGTCAAGAACAAACAGAAGTTTAAGGTAGAGGTCAATCATAAATTGAAGTTCAGAACAACATAAACTTCAAGGTCACGGTCAAATTAAAGGTTAAGGTTGAGAATTGACCTGAGATTAAAGCTCTCTGCAGACCTATAATTACAATGCTGACAACTCTTGTCCTTTAGTTTGAAATGAACAGCTCTGATATTAAAACATTTTTATAATTTTATTATTTTATTAGACTCCCTCCCTCTAAGGCTTAGATCTCAGTATTTAGAGGGAGTGGCTGATGGGTCGAGTGAACAGCTCTGATATTAAAACATTTTTATAATTTTATTATTTTATTAGACTCCCTCCCTCTAAGGCTTACATCTCAGTATTTAGAGGGAGTGGCTGATGGGTCGAGTGACTTATCGGCTATTATTATTATTAAAAGACAGCCCGTCAGTCAATGAAATTGAGGCCGGCGCTCCTGTCCAACCGATGTATCCATGGATAATGCCTATACGTTATCCTGTCAAAAGATAAGAGCTTTTAAAAATTAAATAATTCTTAGTTTAAAACAAAATTTGTTTAAATTTTTTTGTCAAAAATAGTTTAATGTACAGTTAGGTAATGTTTAGTTCCTAATGTGTCTGTTTAATCCGTCTTTCAGAGAGAAGGATTTTTCACAATGATCACATTGATGTCGGACTTTTCTTTTGGTAAACGGACATCCCTTAAAAAAAATAATTCAAAACTGAATATCAACAAAATCAAAAATATAAACTAATTTCTTCTTTCTTTTCGATAAAAATGAAATAATCTAAATATTGAACATTACTCTTATTTTGTGATGCTTTAATTCCTTCACCACTTTTCCACAAAGATCACAGGTTTGAGTGCTACCCTCATGCACCTAAAGATTATACATTGTGAAAATTTTAAGCAGTTTGAACAAATCAATCCTTTACCTGGGCAATGTGCTTCTTGATGGTACAGTTTAGTGTAGATTTAAAGTCACAATGATCACATGTAAAAATTTTACCAGAATGCACCTTAAAGCAGAAATTATTGATAAAAGCAAATTTTAATCCTAGAACAGGTACACATTCACAAATATCAATTGTAGAATATACCTTACCTTATAAGTATGGAAAGCAAGATTTTTGAATGATTTTCCACACAGCGCACAGATCTCCGGTCCATCAGGTGCGTGGCAAACGCGCATGTGTCCTGCTAGTTGCCGCGGCGTTTTAGAAGTTTCCCCACAAACCTTAAAATTATATTTAAAAATGTTTGTTGGCGCCGAGCAGACAATTTATTCAAGGTTGCAGAGCTGAATTAAATATGAAATTCAGGGGAGAAAAATAATAAATTTTGGAAAGGTATTAAAAAAAATCTTTCAAAAAAATAGTATGAAAACTGCTCTATTTTGCACTCCATCTTCTTAAAAGCGTTATCATCATTGCATATGACCATACGGAAATTTTTTTTGAAGTCCCATATTCATATACTTATTTTCTTTCCTTGCGACAACTATGGTCTTAAAATATAAGTTTACCATTTTAACATTTTAGTTGCAATCAGTGGGGCACCCTACAGGAAGCAAAACAAAATTAATTAAAAAGAATTTACTTACCCCACAAGTCAGGTCAAGGTGAGTTTTCATGTGAATCTTTAAGCCATGTTTACTTTTAACTGTTAAACCACAATGATCACATTTCATTCCCTTATTCTTTATTTCACTATTTGAGTCTTTATCAGCAATCACAATCAATTGATAATTACCATGTCTAAAAAAGAAAAAAAATATACCAATTACTCTAAGGGATTAAAATTCAAAGCTTGATTCCAATTTGATAAACTTTGGATTTTTAACTTCTTTCCTTTTAATGTGTTCGTCTAAATCTTCTGGGTTTTCTAATGTTTCGCCACAAACATCACAAGGAAAAATCTAAAAAAATCTCAATGATTTTAAATATTGGTGATAATTTATGGTTTAATGCAGTGCTTTGGATTCCGGTTTAGCGCTGCAAAAAAATGATCCAGAGCCAGGTGATTTACAGATTTACTGATTTTGTTAATAAATTAGGTTTCTTCTATTTTCCACTTATTTTTTTGCTTATTCCAAAAAATCTTTTTTTTTCGACAGCTTAGATTTGGGGTTTGAGAGCGAAATAAGGTTTTATTTTACAGTTTTTGGTTGCTTTTTTTGCTCCTTAGGTCCGGTCGGTCCGGATCAAGAAAGCCAGAATGATCCAAGAGATCCGGACCCTAAGCATTGGTTTAATGACGCCCCTATCCGAACCTGAGTGCTATTTTCTTCAATGGTGAATGTAAATGCAGGAATATTTTCCTCTAGTAATATTTTTTCTTCCTCTTCTTCAATAATATCAGTAAACATATTAGCCTCAACTTCTTCAATTTCATCTTCAGCTGTTTCTTCTTTAATTCTGGTCTCTTCTAAACAATTTCAAATAATGCATGTAGGTAGAAACAATACAGGCCTACTTTATCACCATGTTGAAGGTTTTAATATTCAATACTCATATGAGGCCGAAATTAAAGTTGGAAGTCTAATAAAAATCCCGTCCCATTATTTTTAATTGAACTGTTATCCGTCACCCACTTTTCTATAGATTAACAAAAAACATTTTCATAATTTTTCAACTTTTTTATAGAAAGTATTTATAAACAATTACCTTCATGTATCGTCATGTGCTTCCTCAGAAATGTTCTGTTCTTAAATTCTTTCGTGCAAATAGCGCAGGAGTAAGATATTTCTTGGTTTAAAATAACTTTCTCAACCTTGGACTAAAGAAATATTTTTTTTTAAATCCATGAAAAGTTTTTTTAGCAGTTAATCACTGAACAATTTAAAAAAAAAAAGTTTTACCTGATTTATCCTCTTAGGATCCATAGTTTTCAGGTCTTTTAAGAGTTTATTCTCCGCTGTATCAAACATCTTTTCGAAATCATATTCTTCGACAGATTCAAATACAGACAACTCCTTCAAGATACCACTGTACTCATCATATAACCTGACATTGGAAATTAAAATGGCGGCTCACCAAATTCATAAATTCTTAAACTTGTAATTTCTATTTATTCTCTACCTTTCAATATTGTTAAATCTGATGTATAGATGAGAGAGATATGAGAGGTGAGAAACCTTCCGGCGGATCAAGAGAGGAGCGGATTCCATTCCTCTACTCAGGGTAACCTATACAACATGATAAGAGATGAAACACTCCGACGGGTCAAGAGAGGAGCGGATTCCATTCCTCTACTCAGGGTAACCTATACAACATGATAAGAGATGAAACACTCCGACGGGTCAAGAGAGGAGCGGATTCCATTCCTGCATAATATGATCAGAATTTTTCTTGAATTTACCTCTCTGAGACAACCAGCCATAAACTCTGGGAATCCTGTTCCAAGCTCCCAACTATCCATCCCAACTAAAAAGTTATAGAAAAGTCAAGAAAAGTCTAGAAACTGAAGAGTTTCCAATTTTTCCTTTTAAAATTTTACTCCCGTTGTGTTTACTTTACCATGGACTATAAGGCTTTTTAAAAACTTAGAACCAGGAATTTTCTTAAGTGCTTTTGAAAGAACTGTAGGCGTAATTTTTAAGTGACCCTCCATTTAGAGAGGTTCATGACGGATTCACAATGGTACCCTTTAAACTATAGTCTGGTCATCTAAGACCGAGAAATTTGTGTGTTTGTCTGTAAAATGGTGTTCAAATTACCGGAAACTTGCACGCTAGAGAACTCAACACATATTCCTCAAAAATCCCGAACATTTAAACATTTAAAAAGGGCTAAAAAAAATATTTATTTTCTCCAACTTCTAGAAAGTAAACAATAAACATTAAACATTAATATTTTGTAAATAGAAGGAGACTTGTAAACAAAGTTATCAACAATAAAGAATAATTCCGTCGTCCTTGAAAAGTGAAAGGTTTAAAGCGTAATGTTGTGAATAGGACACGCCACAACAAAACAGTTTCTTTAATTCTAGATTTTAGACTGACCTAGATTAGAATCAATATATTGTGCTGGAGTAGGAAACTCCATTTTATTTCTGTAAAATATATAAATTAAACATCGTTGTAAATCATTTACTAGGAGTATAAAGAGCAAAATATAGTTTTGGCACAATTTAATAAATATCACATTAGCAAAAACCTCTTGGTTTTAAACATATCACATTATAGTAGAATGAGACTTTTTAGAGTTTAGAGATTAGAGTTTATATCACGTAGCTGAGATAGGACGTTTAAAAAATATAAAAATGTAAGCGAGAAAACTTGCAAAAATAAAGCATAATTGGTCTTAGACCTAAAAGCATTTTTAGATCCGAAGATCGTTGGCTTGAGCTTGACTAAAATAAAACTAGCAAATAAAATATTCAGAATAATAAAACTTTCCAACACAGGAGTTTTATCTTTCCAGACTGTGAACTGAACAGTCCGCATCCGTAGAATCATCAAACCCGGAGTCAGGATAATTCTGGTTCTCATCACATTCATCCTCTAATCCAACATCAGAGAACATCAGTCCCTGAGAAGAAGGTTCCACCACCTTAGTTTTAATTTGGGAATTTATCATAAATTGATTTTCAGTTTCCGCAGCAATAATTCGGTTATTATGTAGGTCGCACTTGGAGCTGTCAAGAAATGAATCCGTCCTTGATGGATCAGTTTCCGAGATCTCAAAATCGACATCTTGTTCATCCAGATCAGATGTTTCGAGGTCCGTGGATTCTGTAAGATAACCGCTCTCCTGTTCTATAAAGTAGAGACCAGCTTGTTCATACAGACTCATTTCCTGGAAAAATCATATAATCAGTTTTTCGAGATTTTCTTTTTCTTATTTCCGTTATAATCTTTCTCTCTTCAGTTTTGCATGAATCTTCGTACCCAAACTACACGGGCGGATACAATTGTGAGCCTACAGTAATGCGCGCGTAGCGCACATAAAAATGTCTAGCTTTCCCCCAGAGGAGAGGGGGAGCATTAGAGAGTTCAGAAACCTTGATATTGACCTTAAATTCCCCGATTATTTCTCAATTTTATTGTAGCTTAAACAATGTCTCCATGGCTCAGTACTGTATCCATTTTAACTTTCTCTGTGCTCCTGTAGCCTTTAATAGTACCTCTTCTATCCTTCCTACCTTTATCTGTAACTCTGTATGTATCCTTCCTACCTTTATCTGTAACTCTGTTTGTATCCTTCCTACCTTTATCTGTAACTCTGTATGTATCCTTCCTAACTTTATCTGTAATGTATCCTTCCTAACTCTGTCTGTATCCTTCCTACCCTTATCTGTAACTCTGTATGTATTCTTCCTACCTTTATCTGTAACTCTGTATGTATCCTTCCTAACTCTGTCTGTATCCTTCCTACCGTTATCTGTAACTTTGTATGTATTCTTTCTACCTTTATCTGTAACTCTTTATGTATTCTTCCTTTCTTATCTGTAATTCTTTCTGTATCCTTCCAACCTTTATCTGTAACTCTGTCTGTATCCTTCCAAACTGTATCTGTAACTCTGTCTGTATCCTTCCAAACTTTATCTGTTACTCTGTCTGTATCCTTCCTGAGTTCCTACCTTTAGCCGTAACTCTGTCTGTAAGCGTTTAACCATCTCGTCTGTTTTCTCTAGCTGCCTCGTTTGGCCGGTCAGCTTACAGAATATCATTAGTCCCAGGTAGAGCAGGTACAAAACCAACTATTTAAAAACATGTTAAAAATTAAATGGCCTGAAACCTAAAATTCTAGACTTTTGATTTGTCAAATTATGAATTCTGCTAGAGACAATTAAAAACTGTTGTTTAATTCCTTATCTAAAAATATTTTTTTTATCAAAACAAGGTTTTCATAAAATTGGAAGATAAAAAGTGAGATTTTATGGTTAGCTGAAAAAAGGATATATATAAAAACTCTAGAAACCCATGGACTGAGATATTACCTACGTTGTTTGAATAAGATAAGTAATAAAAATAGTTTTCTATGAAATTCATATTTCCGATATGCAAAGGGGCATTTATGACTAGGATTTTCGTATTTGTAACTGATTTTTTCTTTGAATGTGCACTGAACATTTTTAATCCAGCATCAGTTAAAAATGACAGAATTCTAAACGACATTTCTTATAAAAAAAAAAACGAACATGACAATAATTTTTAAAGCAAACTGCATGTATACCTGGTAAACAGAGGCCCACGTGAAGAATATAAACTGTAAAATAAAATCTACTCCTGTCAGGGATAGATCTAAGCTCTGGTAGACAACTGTGTAGAGGAGTCCAGGTAAACTAGATGGGCTGAACCTTCTCACACCTTCATCACACACAGATATCAGAGATGCAATACTTGAGGTTTTGGGTTGCATTTTAGATATCTGAAAAATATTGAATTGCTTAAAAATATATTTTGAACTTTATTCAAGAAATTAGGATTTTTTAGAATATAAAAATACATTTGTTTTTAAAATGGTAAAATTTTAATAAATTAAATGCACGTAGGACAGAATTATTAGCTAAATAGTTACTAAACCTAACCAACTTTTAAACTAATTTTAACTGTTAACTGAGAGTTTAATATCAAAGAGTTCAGCTGTCTCATTAAGATAAACTTTTAATAAGAGTTTATTTAATAAATAAATCAAAGAGTTCAGCTATAGTCTCTCCTGAAGAAGATCAACTGTTTTATGAGAGTTTATGATTAAAGAGTTCAGCTAAAGTCTCTCGAAGAAGATCAACTGTTTAATGAGAGTTTATGATTAAAGAGTTCAGCTAAAGTCTCTTGAAGAAGATCAATAGCTCCAGACTCTCTGTTCTCAACCTTTGCGACCAGGTTCCTGGAATCCAGGTTCAGATTCAAATATTAGTACAAAGAAAAATAATAATTTAAAGGGACTGTTATTGTAATTTCAAGCAACTCTCAAAATAAAGAGGGGTCCGTTGCATACACGGGGTCGATTCACAAGGGTTCTCTTTAAACCTGGTTAATAATGTTCTTCTAGCTTGAAGTATGTCAAGTTTGAACCATTTAATCCCTTGTTTCTGCAGCGGACACTTTCCGGTCACTTCAATAGAAAACCCAGGATTTAAAATTATTAATTTTAAAGATACATGGATATTTTGTTCAATCTTTATAAGGCAAAGCTTTAAAAGGCGAGTCACTTAAAGTTACGTCTTTCAGTTCAGTTTCCTCTTAACCATAGCCAATAACCATCAAGGACATCAAGAGATGTCAATTTTAAATCAAAATATATTATATTAGTCATTTTAAGTAATGCTTGGTTAAGGTTCTCAATTTGCGTCAGGAACGTCAGTCAACTGAAGATTAAAGGGGGAAAAGTTTAAGAAATTCTAATGAATAGCTCAAGCCAATCTACATTCTACTCTACTATAATTTAAAAAAATGAATCTGAAAGTCCCTGTCTAGCTTAGTGAAGCCTGTTCTGAAGTCCTCCAATAGTTCCTGTTTAACGGAGTAGAACTGAGTCGAGAACTCCTTGAGTTCAGGTTTAGTCAGGTTCTTAGTTCTCAGCTCCGTCATTCTCCTATTCACCAGGAGTCTCAGCTGATTATCCGCCTAGACAATGCAACTCAGATAGTAACAACTAACAAGGTTAAATTTATGTGGAAATACTGGCACGACATTGCGACATTGTAATTTTCTCCAGCTGAATTGGGGAAGTACAGATTCCTTTTTCTTTTTATCATCTTCAGAAGAAAAAAATAAGGTTTTCTTTGAATGAAATTAAAAAAAAACCTGAGATTCACAAAAATAAGACAAAGGCCATGGCAGTCATATTTACCAGTTCCTGACGTATATTTCATTTTGATTCTTGAAAATAAATTCCTAACCTTTCTGTTCTTAAATATTTGCGGAGGGCAAAGAGCAGAATGGGAAAGGGGGGGGGTGATGGTGGAGAAAGTATACTAAACGAAAGAGGAGGGGGGGGGGGATAAGGTGGTGGTTATGAAAATTAACCTGATGCACAAGGTTGGCTGAGCAAGCTATTCTATCCTTCTCCTTCTCTTCAGAATCATCTTGCAAAGGGATTTCAGGATAACGCAGAGCTGTTTTAACTACACTCTCAACCATCTCTAAAGTAACAATTGACAATGACAATGGGCGTAACAATATCAATAACAATAACAGCAATGACACTTTTTTAAAAAAAATTCGTCCTTTTTTAAATTTTGCTTATCCCACTGTAAGATCTCCACATATCTGAACGTCGTCTTGTTCAAGATATCTCCAAACCAAACGCGGAATAACGAGGTGGCAGAAACTCCCAGGAGAGAAGACAGTCAGCTGATGTCAAGATGATTCTCATTACAAATCATAAACAATTCAACAGTGATAATAAAGGTTTTTTACTCTTAAATTCAAATATTTAACCTTTAATAGCTGCATATTAGGCTTATTTACCCGATAGTTTGTAAAAGTTTTATGTCCTAAACTTAAAGTTTTATCTGAGAATACAGCAGTTAAAACGTAGCCAGCTTTTTTCTTTTTATAAAAATAACTTGATATTTTACTTTCAGAATTAGAATGGGTTGATTATCCCATTCCGTTCAATCGAAGTGTTGCTCAGGTTGCGTTTAAGCAAGGTTTATAAACCATCGAGGGGAGGACGGCCAACCACAACTATTTCTCGTCCGAGCCACATTCTTCACATTTTCTCGTCTGAGCCACCTCGAAATCATCGTCCTTTCAATATTATTTTTTTTCGAGTGTCTAAATCGTTCCAGCTAAAAATGTTTTTAAATTGAATGAAAGTTTTCAAGTTTAATGTCTTTAAAAAGCTTCACCTTTATTACGCGCATTTTCAGATATTCCTGGTGTTTTGTTTTACGATGAAAAGTCTAATTATATGCTAAATTCTTATCGGAATAAGTTCAAGAATTTCCGATAATTTACGAGGAATTTTGTTTGTTTGTTTGCTGAAAATAAAACCCATCACGATTATTCCACATTTTGGAGAGTGCTACGAAAAGTAGCTCTATACAAATATATGATATTGTTTGATTTTTTCGTTGTTTAATAAAGTTGATATGAAGAAGATATTCCTGGTGAAGAATGCCGCAAACAATTCCGAGTTTATGAACTAAATTTTGAACTATATTGAAAACCGTAGAATTTTTCAGGGGAAAATGATAGGCAGAGGTATGCCAAATATTTTGCTATTTATTTTATATCGCCAAGGTTAGCCATTAAGGAGGCAGAAGAGATTTAAGTTTAACCTAAATTAATTTTAACATTATTCTCATGGGTTTGAAGATTCCAACACGATATAATCATTGCATTGCTTTAGTCCATTCATATTTTATGCCCTAACGTCGAACGTGGCCAGATTTTTAAAAATTAGTTTAATTTTCGAGAATTGGAAACTTTAAAACACATAATAATTGACGGACAAGGATTTCGAGGTGGCTCGGACGAGAAAATGAGGAGAATGTGGCTCGGACGAGAAATTGTTGTGGCTAGCCACTCTGAACAGCGTCAGTGTCATGTCAAATTACTATAAAACTATCTTGAGAACCCACCGTTGCCTAAGGTACTCATAATTACTCCGACCGTTTACCCGCGCTTTGTCGTAAATAACGATTTCAGCTATTTATCCCTATAAAACTGGACCCACTCAACTTAGCATCTCAATACCAAGCTAAGAACAATATTCCAGAGTTCCACAATAAAAAGTTGAGACAAATCGGTTCTAGGGGTTCGTTAGGAGTATGATCGGAAATACAGAGATTACAACTTGATAAATAATTTTATTTCAATAATCATATTTACCCGAGTTTACAGGTTTGTTCTTCTCAACTTTAACTGCGAATGAGAATTTCTCCCAGGGGTTCTTAATAGGGTTTGGGGGCTCTAGGCTCTGGAACATCTTCTCAATTACAGAGTCAGGTACTCGGCTTTCCCTGGATTTCCGCGCTAATTATCCTCTAACCATTTTAGTAGAACAAAAACTATTTTTCCAAAACAAACTTCCTATTCAACAGGAGGATAGTGGTTCTTCCTATTCAACAGGAGGATAGTGGTTCTTCCTATTCAACAGGAGGATAGTGGTTCTTCGTTGTTTTAAAACAACCCTTAAAGGAATAATTCAATGACTAAAAAGAATTTAGAAATTACTGAATGAATTAAGGTAAAAAAACTGTTTTATCCGAGGTATTGTCAGAGAAAACTCAATTATTGTATGAAATATGGGTTGCTCCTTCTTCCTACCGAGATGTTCATTGGGATAATTTCCTGCTGGTATTAAGTTGAAGAGCAGTGGTTAGCTCAGATTGAAAATATATTTCAGCAAACCCTGTACAGTGTTTTCTCGCAACCTTAATTTCAGCATTTAAATTTTTTTTTGTAGGTTCATCTTATCACAACACGACACATCACAAATAAAATCAAGTGAAGATCTGAAAGAAAACCCAAAGTGAACCCCCCAGACTGCCTTCTTACAGTTCAAATGACATAGAATAAAAATATGTATCTCCTTTTTTGAAAAATTAAAAAACTAAGCTTACACATTGCACATGGTACATTAATCTAAAACATGAATTTAATCCTAAAATTTCAAAAAAATTTTGACAATCATAGTAAAAGATGAAAAGTATGGCAAAGATGAGGAATTGAATATTGATCTCAAAGTAGTCAATAAAAAAATAATGCTCATTTTCCTGATAAAATTCATGTCTCATGCTCGACAGATAATTATTATCATCAATAATAAATACTGTTTTTGAAGGTTTTTCATTAATTTTATCACTTTTATCGCTTTTATCACTTTTTATACTTTCACTTGTTTGTAATGTTTCCGAATGACAAGTATTATGGATGAAAAATGCATCAATTTTGTCAATGAATTCATTATCATCGAGATCACAATCTTTATTCAAAGTTTGGCAGATCTTTATCTCCAGGGCGTTTAGAATTTCCCCCCGGATTTGTTTCCATAGTCCTGGTTGCTCCTTGAGTTCTGCTTGCTCCTCTGAAAAATAAAAAAAGTTTTTACAATTTAAAAACAAAATTTCCCCTGCCCGAGGGCTCAGTCTTTTGGAAGTTGACAGTTCTATTATTATTTTTAAAATAAAATCTAATCTTCACGTTATTTTATAGAGGCAAGTTGTCCTGTTGGCATATGAGATTTAGCATTACGCATGAATTAAGACATCGTAAACCCTGAATATGTATTTTCCATTAGGAATATTTAACATTTATGAAATATCTACCTAAAGGTACAAGTTTATCGTAGCAGACATGAACAACGTTCAGGTTTCTCGGCTCAGCGTAATTCTTAAACAAGGCGGAGAAGGTAGATTTACCCGTCCCTGGTATACCGAGCAGTACCAGGATACAGACAGAAGATCTTTCACACATTATCCAAGGTGTACCAGGATGCAGACAGAGATCCTTCACACATTATCCAAGGTGTACAAGGATACAGACAGGAGATCCTTCACACATTATCCGAGGTGTACCAGGATACAGACAGAGATCCTTCACACATTTATAGATCTGGAATAGGGTTTAAGAATAAGCAGGTATTTGGAACAATAGCAATTCACGAATATACAAATAAAGAACATTTTTACAAAATATTGAATATTGGTTGTATTTCTTTACAAAGGAAGTTGCTGTTCAAGTCAAAAATTGTTGAGTTCCTGTTCAAAACAGAAATAGTTGAGTTACTGTTCAAAACAGAAATATTTGAGTTTCTGTTCAAAACAGAAATAGTTGAGTTACTGTTCAAAACAGAAATAGTTGAGTTTCTGTTCAAAACAGAAAAAGTTAAAGGGACTGCAGACGTAATTTTAAGTGACACTCCATCTATAGAATGAAATGTGCCATAACCTATGCACTTTAAACCTTTGTCTGGGACTGTGACATGTCCGATGCACTTTACACCTTTGTATGGGAATGTGACATGTCCGATGCACCTGAAACCTTTGCCTAGGAATGTGACATGTCCGATGCACTTTAAACCTTTGCCTGGGAATGTGACATGTCTGATGCACTTTAAACCTTTGCCTGTGAATGTGACATGTCTGATGCACTTTAAACCTTTGCCTGGGAATGTGACATGTCAGATGCACTTTAAACCTTTGCCTGGGAATGTGACATGTCCAATGCACTTTAAACCTTTGCCTAGGAATGTGACATGTCCGATGCACTTTAAACCTTTGCCTGGGAATGTGACATGTCCGATGCACTTTAAACCTTTGCCTAGGAATGTGACATGTCCGATGCACTTTAAACCTTTGCCTGGGAATGTGACATGTCCGATGCACTTAAAACCTTTGTCAGATCAAGGATGATTGAATTAACCTAATTTTTTCTTGCTATGATGGAGAACTTACGAATTTTATCCACAAAAACAGTTGTAAAAGTTTGAAAAATTTGTGTGCAAGTTGTTTTATAAAAAGTTTTTTTTGTACAATTTATTTATACACAGAATTTAGAAACTAAGTCGACATAAAATATCAAATTCTTAGAATTATTTTTCGATAATAATAATAAATAAATACTAACTGTAACAGATGTCAAAATAAAAAAAAACTTGCCCCTTTGTCGCATTTTTTGACTCTATGTCGTTTTACCCTTTGTCGTTTGACCCTTTGTCGTTTGACCCTTTGTCGTTTGACCCTGTGTCGTTTGACCCTTTGTCGGTGAACCTGAAATTACGCTTGCAGTCCCTTTAATTAGTTTAAAGGTAGAACTTCTGCTGACAAGCACTGAACCCCTTCTCCATATATTCTGCTTTAGTAACACATAGATCGGAGAAATCCGGGTCCTTGGCTAAACTAGCTCCACCCTTCCAGGCGTATCCAATAGGGTCATCATCCATACGGACCACAACCTTAATTATTATTATTAACAATCAACCTACAGACAAAGTACCATGATGACCATGTAGGTAGGTTATAATTCAATGAAAGCAGGGTTGAGTTCAGATCTCACCTGAATTTGTTTAGAATTCAGTGTGTCAGTATATGCCAGGATTGCATACGAAAATAAATAATACACTTCTGCAAGAGCTTACATTTAAGGCGGTATACATTCCGCTAAAACCAGATAATTTTTGTCAAATTTCAAAATAAAATACTAACAGTAACAATTAGAACTACAAGATTTTTGTCTGATTAAATAATAGTCAGTAATAACCGTTCAAGCCTTAATCCTAAAATGTATTGGCAGAACTAGTGAAGTTTGTTTACATTTTCTTGTTTCTTTTCAACTAATATTTAATATTTTTAAGATTAGCGATCACAGCTTCTAAACATTATTAAATCAGTTGTGCATTTTTAGAGATTTTTAGAATAAAAAGGACTTTTAACTTTAAAGTGATCTTTTAAAATTTGCAAAAAGTTGTGAAGAAGATTACTTCAAATCTTTTTAGTTTAACCTTCATTAAATCTGGAGCAAGAGCTCGTATCTCTGTCTCCAATCTGTCCTTGTATCCAGAAAACAGAGAGTTACCCCCAGTCAAAACTATATTCCTGAAAAGTGCAAAATAAAAAAAACCGCTTTTTCATAATCAGTTCTGATAATAAACCCGTATCAATCATGTCAAAACTAATTTGTTCAGATTAAATTTTTTTTTGCTTTGTTAATAAATCTGAGGCTGTTTTTAAACAGTACAGTAAATAATCAGGGGTGTTTCCTTACTCGTATTATTGTATGAACATTGTAAACCATACAACCAGAGGATCTGATAATGTTTATGTACACTGTACAACCAGGGGATCTGATTATGTTTATGTACACTGTAACAACTAAGGGATCTGATTATGTTTATGTACACTGTACGACCAGGAATCTGATTATGTTTATGTACACTGTACAACCAGGGGATCTGATTATGTTTATGTACATTGTACAACCAGGGGATCTGATTATGTTTATCTAACTATACAACCAGGGGATCAGATTATGGTTATGTACCTGTACAACCAGGGGTGTGCACTCTCCTCACAAGCTGCTATGGCATGTACAACTGCCTCTGGTATACCCAACTGTTGTATTCCAATATCACAAGGATGGAAGAGTATCTCAGGAACCATAAACCGCTCATTGTTCATCCTAAGTAGCAAAAAAAATTCTCCAAACGCTTGTTTTATTAATATTACCATAAAGCAAGACTAAACAAGAAAACGGCCTGCGCGAAAGAAAAAACGACGACGACGACGACAACAACAACAACAACAACGACAACAACAGTGATCATCGAAACATTTAATTTTTAATTTAATAAACTACCTTCAACAAAAAAATGTGTATAGAAATTTGAACCTGATAATTTGTTCCCCATCCACTGGTTTTCCGGTTGATTCGGAGTTAGGTTTCATATATCCTCGTCTTATTGTCGTAAAATCTAAATATTTTTTTTTAAATGTAAAAAAAAAACAATATTTCCATCAGTTTAAGACCCCTGAGCCCGAAAGCTATGAACTGGTATGGTTTTGAAACTAGTAATGGAAATTGGGTTTTACGAAGGAAGCAAAGTAATTTAGTAAATAAATCAATATTTTAATTTAGAAATGGTTAATTTTGTATTACCTTTTGTTTTGGTTTGTTTCTAAAATTAAAGGGGTAGTTGTCTGGGGCGTGCGAGGGCATTTGTGTGTGTGGGGGGGGGGGGGGGGGGGGGAAATGTTAATAAATTATTTATGTCATACTGTGGTTTAAACTTCAAGGGGTGAAAAACAGGCATGGAAACGTTTCTTAAAAAATATCTTTATTTTCATAGGAACGATATATATTATAAATAATAATATAATGATCAAATGTATATTAACACTGAAGGCAGTATTGATTAAAGCTTTTTTACTAGAGATGGAAAAGTTAAGATTTATTACATAAATAAGGATGTAAAATCTATATTTAAACTGAAGGCATTATTGATAAAAGCTTTTTCGATGAAATTTTTTTAGTTAAGGGAAAAAGTGAGGTTTTAAAGTATTTTTTTCATATGGTGTACTTAAATGGAATACATGCGTAATTTCAAGTAACCCTCCATTTATTAAGTGACATATCCGATATACCTTTGAAACCTTCATTTCTCCATCGTTTCTGAAGCAAGAAATGCATGAGTCACTTTTGTAGAGAAACCACAAATTAAAATGATCAGTTTTCAAAATGGGAAACATGGATTTTTAATACAATACTTGATCAGACAAAGCTTTGAAGGGTATTATTGTGAATCGGAATTTAAATTATGTCTGCAGTCACTTTAAACCTCTCAATTGATTCTACATTAATTAAACTGCTTTGTAGGTTTGTGAACTTTGAAGAAATGAAAAGAAATTTACAAAATGATTTAAAAAAAAGAAAATGAAGAATCCGAATTTTTTTTTCTCAACAAATCTCCAGATGTAATATTAAATAAGCCCCTCTTTTACGCCCAGGTATTGTAGTATTAGTTAAGATAATGCAAATGACCTGTTTACTCTAAGAGGAAATGTTCAATATGAGCAAAATATCTTATTGCATGAGTCATCCAATTTGTTCACAGAGCAAAGAGCAAATAATAATAGAGCAGTTGGAAATCAAGCAGATGTTGCAGCGCCAATTAAAATAGAAAAAAATTTACAAATTAAGAACTCGTGGATTTCGTTAAACCACAAACTCTCTTTCATTTCCGTCTCTATCTAACCTGGGAGAACGTAATCTCTGACGATTGTATTTAAGGAACCACGGGATTTGGCAATTTCAAAATCCTTCTCTACATCTCTACTCACAAAACAGCAATCTTCTAAACACAACAAAATATTCAAAACATTTATTATATCTTTTTTTCCAGAAAATTTAAATTTAATTTATTACCTTTACATGCGTTCATAACAAAGGTTTCATCAAGAACATGAAGCTGGCGGTAGGAAATAATTTCCTACAAAGTACCCAATAATCAAAACAAGATTTTAATGGAGTTTTTTACTTTGCAGCCTATTTGAGATAATTTTAACTCTTTTTTTAAAGTTATTGACGGGAATAATAGTATTGATTAAATTTCTGTCCTTAAGATTTGATTTGATTTTCGTAATCTAGAAATTGCTTTCTGTATTCTAGAAATTGATTTCTGTATTCTAAGAATTGATTTCTGTATTTTAGGAATTGATTTCTGTATTTTAGGATTTGATTTTACCAATCTAGGCATTGAAATCTGTATTCCAGGAATTGATTTCTATAATTTAGAAATTTATTCTTCATTCATTTCTGCATTTTAAGATTGATTTCTGTATTCATGATCTGACTTCTGTCTTAAAGGAATTGATTTCTATAATCTAAGAATTGATTTCTAAAATCTAAGAATTGATTTCTTTATTTTATGAATTGGTTTTATTACCTTTAAATGATTTGTAAGAAGTTTCCCTCCAACATCTACTCGCTTAACAGCTTCACGTACTCGTTTACCTAATCAAATCAAATCAAATCAAATCAAATCAAATCAAATCAAATCAAATCAAATCAAATCAAATCAAATCAAATCAAATCAAATCAAATCAAATCAAATCAAATCAAATCAAATCAAATCTCAAATCAAATCAAATCAAATCAAATCAAATCAAATCAAATCAAATCAAATCAAATCAAATCAAATCAAATCAAATCAAATCAAATCAAATCAACTTGTCATAAACTGAACAAAGTTTTTAAAACTTTGAAAAAAGTGATATTTGAATTTACCTAAAACATATGGTACAATATGAGTAAAACTGTATCCAGACTCAATAACCAGACAACATTTCTCATCAGGATTATCTAACCAAGAAAATATATACATTTTTTCAGTTCATCGGGAACTTAATTGTACGGGAGCTCAAGCCGGCGTTTAAGTATCGAATGTTAACTCTGCTTATTATCTAAATATATCATCTATGTACGTTTGTATGGATGCCCGATCATAACTCATGAACCCCTTGACAAATTTGCCTTAAATTTTGACTGGGGAAACCAGGAAAACCACGGGAATGTTCTTGGATTGGTTTTTAAATTTAAAGTTGAGTGGCCCCACTTTTATAGGGGAGAATAGCAAAAAACGTAATTAACGACTGTGGAACTTGAAGAATTCTAATAAACTTTCAATGTTCAGGATTTCTGAAAAACCTGGAGAATCCCTGTGATGAATGTGAAGAGGTTGGAGCGGAGAAAGTTGTAACTGAAACTACACATGGAAATTCGAACTTTCTCCTACGTTTCTAAAACTTATTTATCCTTATACTAAAAAGTCAATGTTCTGAATTATTTAACCCTATATATTCTTTTAATCTTATCAAGCCATGAGAAATGTTAATCATGAGCTGTTTTATATAAAAATTCTTTATCTTATTGAGATTTCAAAGGAAAGAAAGTTTTTAATTTAAAAAGTAAAGATTTTAGCTTGTATAACAATGATTTTAATTTGGAAAGAATAATTTTTACTTTGAGAACTATATATCGTCTTTTTCAGACGAAGAATGGGTTGATTAAATTTATAACCCGACTAAGTCTCCAGGTCTCATCTTTTACGAGGTTTATAAAACATCTTTCTAAAAGAATGATTTCCTATAATACAAAAGGTCTTGAGCCAAAACTTTGATATATGTAATGATGTTATATAATGGTGATACAGATCTTAGATTAAACGTGTTCTCCCTAACTTCAACCATCCTACAAATCTACCACCTACAACATCATCCTACAAATCTGTTACAAATCTTCATTCGTCGAGTATATGAAACTCAGGTGAACCATGCGAAATCATAAATAGACTTTGAACCAATTTAGTCTTGGAATGTTCATCGATAATATTATGCACATGCAGATACCTTAAATACATGTATTCAGGACCTACCCTGATAATTTCAGTTCACAGTGTGAGAGCTGAAGTTGAGGATAAACTACTTCAATAAAGCTTATATAAACACTCGTGTATTAATGTGGTGCGCTGGTTATAAGGGAATACTCGCCCTGGATATGAGTGAGCTTTTATGTTTTTAAAGTCTCAAAAACAACGTTACGAGTACAACGACTAAGCGCTGGTACACGGCTGGAGTAACTATGAAAACACTGGGCAACGCTGGGTTCCCAAGCTAGCTATTAAATATTATTATAAAAATTAGAGTATGGAAATATTTGAAATAACTTTCTTGCACGCATAGAAAAAACACATGTAAAGGCAAAAATTAAAAAAAGTTTTAAATATTTATTTTTCCTAGTTTGTTTTGATAGCAAGACAGGTCCCCTGCATGAGTTCTGAACAAGGATTTGAATCCATATTCTTCAAAGAATATTTCACTTAATCCCTCCTTTACACACATAAATCAAACTTTAAATAATATAGATTAATTTATACCGTTCTTAAAGAAACTGGGAGTGTAATTGTGTAAGTGTAAGTGAGGGGTCATAATTTTCAATATGCAATCTTGCTGGATCGTAATTTTCAATACACAATCTTGCAGGATCACAATTTTCAATACACAATCTTGCAGGCTCATAATTTCAAAGTGAAATCTTGCAGGATCAAGATTTTCCATGTGCAATCTTGCAGGATCAAAAATTTCAATATGCAATCTTGCAGGATCGTAATTTTTAATATGCAATCTTGCAGGATCGTAATTTTCAGTGTGCAATCTTGCAGGATCGTAATTTTTTATACGCAATCTTGCTGGATCGTAATTTTTAATATGCAATCTTGCAGGATCATAATTTTCAGTATGCAATCTTTCAGGATCGTAATTTTTAAATATGCAATCTTGCAGGATCGTAATTTTCAGTGTGCAATCTTGCAGGATCGTAATTTTTTATACGCAATCTTGCTGGATCGTAATTTTTAATATGTAATCTTGCAGAATCGCAATTTTCAATACAAAATCTTGCAGGATTATTTTTTCCATGTGCAATCTTACAGAATCATAATTTTCAATACACAATCTTACAGAATCATAAATTTCAATATGCAATCTTACAGAATCATAATTTTTAATACACAATCTTACAGAATCATAAATTTCAATATGCAATCTTACAGAATCATAATTTTCAATACACAATCTTACAGAATCATAAATTTCAATATGCAATCTTACAGAATCATAATTTTTAATACACAATCTTACAGAATCATAAATTTCAATATGCAATCTTACAGAATCATAATTTTCAATACACAATCTTGCAGGATCATAAATTTCAATACACAATCTTACAGAATCATAATTTTCAATACACAATCTTGCAGGATCATAATTTTCAATAAAACTCAAATTAAAGAGAAAGTTTAAGGTGTGTTCCTGTATGGATGTAAAGTTAAAGTAAGGTTCGGTAAACACAAGTTTAAGTTTCTCTGGATCTAAGTTGAAGGATTGTTTTCCAAACATATAATCCCAGACTGCTTTCTCATGGTCCCAGTTCACAAGATAACCTTTCTAAACAAACAACATTAAATATTTTTTTTCATTAGATTTTTTAAATATTTTTAATCTCGACCGATTGCTTGGTTTAACAAAAGGATCAATGATGACAAATATGAGTAGAGTAGCATTTGGAATACTTTAAAAAATCAAGAAGAATCCCAATCTAATTAATCAAAGCCGTTAGTCCTAACAGGATCTAATTCTTCATTTACTTGAACCAGTTAGAACAAGTTGTCAAAATAAAATTCTAACCTGAAAAGGAAGCATAAAAAACAGTGATGAAAGATCTCTACAATCATCTATTTGATCTCCTTAAAATATACAAAAATAAGAATATAAACCTTGAAATAATTTATTTTCCTTTTTTTTTTGAATTACCTATAAATGCTCGTCGTTTCTCTGATTTAGCCTTCATGATACAGTTCGGAATAATCCTGCATCAAACTGAACCTCAGAAAAACTTTTAGAAACAAATTTCTACCTTGCCATTACAGCTGATACAAATCGAACAAATAATAGCAATAAACAATAGCAGTCTTGGTAATGATGAATAATTAATGTAAAAAAATGTATGTTAAACATCTTTTATAAATCCACCCAGCATTTGAAATGAATGCTAACACATTCATACCAAAAAGATAGCACGCGTCTATGATGTAGCACTGTATTTAAGATGTAATAAAAAGCTGCGTTTTCATTGAGATAAACCGTTATATGTAAAGTAGCAATATCTGTTTGTTTTCATGTCCGATCATGATTCATGAACTCCCTGACCAGTTTAATTTAATTTTAATTGGCAAACTTGGTAGAACCTCTAGAACGTTCTTAGCTTGGTTTCAAAATTCTCACTCCAGGAAAAGCTGGGTTCCCAAATTGGTATTAAATAAATTCTAATATAAATAATATTTGCAACCATTGTCTTTGCAACTTTTTAAAAACAAACAATATAGAAGCTAAAAAAAATAAACAACTGTGACCTAAGAAAATATTTTTTTCTGAATCTAGACAAATAAGCCTTATCTTATCAATATGACAGTTTAGGGTTCAGTGATCCCCATAAATCTGTGGAATAAAAATACAAGAAGTTATATGTAGACCACTGTAGAACAGCCTCAACCCCTGGAATCTGGATCAGTAAAATCTATGGGCTCCAGGGTTTTTTCAGGCTCCAACTGGTGTTGAGCCCCCCCCCCCCCACAACAATAGCTGTCTACGCCCTGTGGGTTAAATTTAATTTGACTCTCAGTGTGATTCCTTGGAGTGGATTGGCTGGAAAACCCAGCTTTAATACTGCTCCCTCCATTCTCCAGGATAAAAGTATCCGATGTATCTGCTACCGGCATCTTTATATCATCTGAAACCATAAATGCAAATTTTATTTTACTGCTAACAGATATTTGATTGAATACAATTATATTTATCTCGACTAGGATTAGAGATAAGATATACAAGTTTGTTTACTAATTTAATTATGTGACCAAAATCTTATACTCTAATCCGTAAAAATTTGCAACCTGATGTGTGGTAAACTTTGAATATTTGATCCAAGAGTTGTTCCTATTTTAAATATAAAATGTTCAGGTTGCAAAGATATAATAATTAGAAACTAGAGATTGAGGCGAGTGTTTTTTTTTAAAACTTTAAACCAGGATTATTTCTTAATTGGAAAGATTTTTTTAACGTTTTTTGCACAAATCTTTCATTTGCAGCTAGTTTTAATTTTTCTGAAGAACATTCCTCGTTATCTCATTACTTATCTCTTTATCTCTAAAACAAAGAAGGGAATATATATAACAATTCTGTATGTACTTAATAGTGAATATATATATTATTCTATCTGAAGTTGGATGAAAATTTAACAACATCTTCATCTATTTGATCTGCTTGACCTTGTCCGCCTTAACCTTCTTCATGTATCCATCTCCTCTAACCTTGATATACCTAGGACAGGGTAGAATATAATAAAAAGATAAAACTAAAGGGACTGTAAGTGTAAATGTAAGTGACTCTCCATGCTAAGATGACAATACCCGATTCACAGCCGTACCTTTATCTGAATAATTTCGCTTTTCTAGGTTTAAAGTGATTAATTCTGATAATTCCTTTAGGGCTTTCTGCAGTAGAAATGCGCAACCACAGTTTTGAAAATTACAAACAAGATTAACTTCTAATTCATGCTTAAACTAGACAAAGCTTGTTTCGCTACTTAGCGATTTCCCTAAAGACCTAATATATGTACCGTGTGGTATTTCTCAGGATTGGATCGTAAGACTCCCTTCTCTCAACGCTCTTCATAATAAAAAGGAAGATAGTAAGGTTCCGAACGTTTATTTCTCTGAGCCTTCAATCTAAACAAGTTTAATAAACCCACAGAAAAAGCTTTGAGTGAAAATCATACAAATATAACAAATAATCCACTCAGGCATTAAAAAACTGTGGTTAGGAACCAATAAACGAATACATAATCATCAATCATACTAGAGTCAACCAATAAATATAAAATAATTACCACGGTGATCCCAGAATTCTGAACACGGAAAATACTTGCAAAACGAATAAACATATACTGAATATAAATATAACTATAACTCCGCTAGAAATCTTGCGTCTGCGCAGTCGGACTGTAAACAGTTCCTAAACCAGTTTCTTCACAATACATTCCGTACAGATCTTCAGGAGAAACTCAGAAATACGCAGGGGCGACAAACAGACTTTCTTCACGCAGCATGGCTCGCGTAACAAAGCTTTTAAGGGTACCGTTGTTAATCGGGCATTGCCATCTTTGCATGGAGGGACACTAAAATTACGCTTACAGTCTCCTTAAGCAAAACCATAATTATTTAAAAAAATTATTTAAATCATTAACTATTTAAAATGCACGAGATATGCAAAATCTTTTAACAATTGTGAAATATAACATTTTCCAGCTAGAAAAAGCCACCATCTTTCACATTATTGATTGGATAAAGGTTCAAAGGGTAGCGTAGTAAATAAGAGATGACCCTCTTTAAATGGAAAATCACATGAAATAACAACGTGAAATCCTTTATTATGTTTCAAAAACATCATTATCATTATCATTATCATTATCATTATCATTATCATTATCATTATCATTATCATTATAAATATCATTATCATCCTTATCATCATCATCTTAATCATCCTACATACGTACATACTTGGTTATAAACTGGTCTACATCAATATTCTGCTGAAGAAAACTCTCTGCAATATCATCACTCTCTTCTTCACTTGCTACAGAGAGTCGAACCAACCTAGAATGAAAAGTACATTTATCAACTGATAAGGTAAAAAAAATGTAGAGGTAAGGGAAGAGATGAAAAATAAAAAATATCACATTAGTGAAGAGTAATTAAAGGCCTATGGATCATATATGTATCCACAGATCTGAATGTCGTCTTGTTCAGGGTATCTCCAAACCAAACGCGGGATAACGAGGTTGAACTTTGCAGAAACTCCCATTAGAGAAGACAGTCATTCTACCTCGCCCACGGGTGAACCCATCTGTTATTTAAAGGTAAATGATATGATGTAATCTCGAGTTACATGATAAACTTGTTCTAACATTAACTTATTTAGCTCAAGTTTGTGCGGTCGATGAACTCCTTTACGACCTCCACCTAGCAGAGGACCTTGTATGTGTACCTTATCTTTACCCTGTATCATCTCAACCTATAATACTGACTGATTCTAGGCTCAACCTGCGGATCATTGATTTGTACTTATTTCATATATAAATAAATAAATAAACTGGTCAACCATCATCCCAAGATACTTGTCCCTGTGAATTATGTGATCAAACTGTTACTCTATCGATGAGTTGAAAGAAACACTAAATAAGCTGATATTCGATCTTCAATTCTACATATTTAGTCTTGTAGCTGTCTCTCGACCTGACTGCAAAGCAAGTGATCCTACCGCAAAGTATAGAGCTAGATCTATCCTATCCTACGGCTACGAACCCTCTGGTCAGTTCAACGTTGTAAGTGACAACTTCAAATGGCTTAAATTGTACGAATTCTTTAATTATTTTACGAATTTTATACAGATAGATTATTATACAAGTCGGAACTGATTTTATTATTTTTTTTTGTTTTGTTTCAGTTCACGACTAGAGGAGTATGAATACATCTTTCCTGAAATACATGCTTGAAAAGACTGTCTGTGTATTAAAGAGGTGCGCCAGGGTATTTTAGATGCTCCATTATGTTTGTATGCTTCCTACCACCTCCACCTGGGTACATAACCTACCCCAAGTTGGACCTAGAGCATAATGTAAATATATATTAACCTGTCTGCTAGTAGATTAGGTTCTACCCTAGCTTCGAGTTCTCTCAATCTGTCAATAGTACTCTGAAGCTCAGACTTCTTCTGGTGAAATTCCTTGAATAAATGGGACCGTTAACGACGTAGTTTCATGAGACTTTCCATTTGTAGCGTGCCGATTTACAAAGGTAGCCTTTAAACCTTTATCTGATCAATAATGTTAAAGATATCGTCGTATCATTATTCTGATGCAGAAATGCAAAATTGAAAATGACGAATTTTCAAAGAGAAAAATAAAGTATCTCATGCATTCTTTACCAGACAAGGCTTTTGAGGATACTATTGTCAATCCAAATGTATTACTTTGTGGAATTCAAATCAAGGGTCAAAGAATCTCTAGGCTTTGCCCAGATAAAGTCAATTGGCAAAGCCTAAGATTGTAATGAGTGTGAATACACTTGAACAATGAGCAGTAATAAACAAATCGTATTTGAACCCTTGGATTTATCCGTTTACCTGATATTTGCAAATAATTTCGTTTCTTGAAGATTCTATCTGAGTTTGTAGATCTTGATTCTCTAGAGCTTTCTTTTCTAGTTCTTCCCTCATACTGTTTATAGACTCCAGGAGGGAACCTAAAGGATAAATACTATTTTTAGACTCCAGGAGGGAACCTGAAGGATAAAGGACTGTTTATAGACTCCAGGAGGGAACCTAAAGGATAAATACTATTTAAAGACTCCAGGAGGGAACCTAAAGGATAAAGGACTGTTTAGACTCCAGGAGGGAACCTAAAGGATAAAGGACTGTTTATAGACTCCAGGAGGGAGCCTGAAGGATAAAGGACTATTTATAGACTCCAGGAGTGACCCTGAAGGATAAAGGACTGTTTATAGACTCCAGGAGGGAACCTAAAGGATAAAAAGACTGTTTATTGATCTAGATTTAACAGTTTGGTCAGGGAGAGGTAAAATATAAACAATAAGACACATATATTTCGCAGCTCTGCTCTTTATATACCTTTAATGTTGGTCTTAAACTAATTGTTCTACCTGTTTCTGCGTACTACTGTATTATTAATTATTAATGCTTAATTGCATACACCCCTAGTCCTCTAAACCGTCCACGAACCTTTACCGCATTTTTAATTCAATAACTATATGTTCCTTAAAAATCCAAGCTAAAATGATAACTTGAAATTATAATAAAAAAATTATGTGGATTCAAGATTTCCTTAAAAAGATAAGAACCAGTAACAAAGATTTAACATTCATACTTAATGGTTCATAATCCGTCTCAGCTTCCATAATGAATTTTTCAAAATGATCTTCATCGTTCAGTATTCCCTTGAGTTCCTCCACTGGAAGGTCAGCCAACTTTGCACTATAAAAACAGTTATTAAGTCAGGAATTTTTAAAACTTTTACTTAAAAACCTTAATGTAATTAGATTTTCTTTTAAGAAAATACTACTTTACATCAAATCAAGAGGGTCAAGGAAATTTCATATTTTTTATATGTACGAAGTAGATATCAATGTTTGTCTGTTTGTTAGAATGACCGATCATAACTCATGAACCCCTTCACCGATTTGCCTTAAATTTTGATTGGAAACTCAAAGCAAAAAAAATTCTAAGTTGAGTAATCTGGCTTTTGTAGAAAAAAAAAATTGTTTCCATGCAAAGATGGGTTCCCAAACTTGTAAATATTATATGACAGAGCGACATTCACGAAATAACGTTGAAAACAGATATGCTTGGATAGAGAAATGATGAGCAAGAAAACGGCTGGGGTTGCTGATTGATTAAATTTTAGAAATAAAAAAATAAAACATATATCAATGGCCAATTATTTTGATTTAAAGGGTTTCTTTGTAAATTGAAGAGTATCTTAGAACTACATTAAAAATCATTTTAAAGAACATTTTAAGAATTAAATGAAATCAACTCACATAAATCAACTTGAAGGACTGCAGATCCTCTATTAAAATTAAGATTTATACCTGAGCGGATCTGGAGATGTATTTACTGCTGAACCTGCAGATGGGGGTAGGACGCAGTAGGACGGAGAGAGTGCTGCTACTCCTTGAGACCGAGCTCCAGGATTTTGGAGCTGAAGACTAGATTTCTTGAGCTCCTGTTTAATTGCTCCAATAACCATACCAAGGTCAGAATGCTGAGAGAAGTTTCTAGAACAATTGACAATAAATACAGGGGAGAAAAAATAGATTTGATATGTAAAAAGAGAAAAAAACTTGGACATGAAAAGGCAATTTATTTATTTCTTTTTATTTCTTTTCACCCAAAAAATTCCTTTATTTTCCCCACTTCAGCGAATAAAAACAACTCATGGTGTTAGGGGAGATAATTTGTCGAGAAAATATACACCCTTGTTTGTCTAAATATGAATGTTTTATCAACAGTGCGTAACTTTTACCTTGACGTAACCATTCATAAAAAAACCTACCCTTAACATAATCAACCGAAACGTTGTTAATCTATTTCGAAAAAGAGAAACGTAAATGTAGTTTTCAAGTGACCCTCCACTTACAGACTGGTCTGTCTGATTAACAACAATACCCTTCAAAGCTTTGAATTATCTAAAATGAATGAGATATCCATGTTTCCAATTTGAAATTTATATTTCAATTGTGACTTCTCAATAAAAATGACTGGCAGATTTTCTGCTTACAAAACCAACAAATCGAAATGTACCAAACCACGCCTTTATCAACCGTAACGTAACCAACAGCTAGTTAACCAATTCTAACCTAGCTAACAGAAACGCCTCATACCGTAACATAATTAATCAGACCGAAATGGAACGTAACATAACGTAGCCTACCTAAGTCCAGGAGAATCAATTCTACCAGATGAATCAACCCAAGGATGCAATACAGCAGGGGAGATTTCAACAAGAGGCTAAAACAACCAAGAATATATTTTTTTTGGGCCGATTGTATATTTGCATAAATGAATACCTTATATCACATCGAATAAAAACGTAATTGTAATCCAAGAAGTAAGTTTTGTTTTGAAACATAACAAAGAACTCATAGTTGCAGTGCTTATGATCCATTTCATTTGGATGCGGATTCAGATCCTGGATACTGGTCATGAATTTTAAAAAAAGAAGAATTTTTAAATTATTTTCATCTTTTCTCGTTTCATTTTATGCTAAAACTAGATTATCTATTCAGTGATAAGTAAATCTCTCTTTTTTGAACAAGTTGGATTTGGGTTTTAAGAGCAAAAAGTTTTAGTTAATATTTTGCCACTTCTTGATTAGGATCCAACGGATCAGGATCCGGATCCTGAGCACTGGTGAGATAAAAAAAAATGTGCAAGAAGATTTATTCTAAGTTCCTTCTGGTTTGGGAAGTTGTCTGGTAGCTTGATGACGAGGATGAGGGAGTGCCCGGAGGAGTTGAAGCTCACGCTGATCAATAATATACATTTACGTTTCATTAAGTTATTTTCATATTTTGGACTATATTCATTATTTAACCTGTTAGTGACATTTTATGTGTTTTAACCCTTTTACAGGGACTGTAAGCGTCCATGCAAAGATGGAAATGATCAATTCACAAAAATACCCTTGAAACCTTTATCTGATCAATAGTGTGAAAGATATTGTCGCTATTCAAGGGTTCGAAGTAATATATGTCACTTTTGTAGAGACCCCATAATTGAAAAATTATCAATTTTCAAACTAACAAACATTGATATCTAATTGATACTTGATCAGATGAATCTTTTAAATGTACCGTTGTGAATCGGGCATTGTCATCTTTGCAAGGAGGTTCACTTGAAATTATCTTTACTTCATCAAGGTTATGTAATTCGTGTAATTAGTTTCCTGTATTCTTTGTTAGGAACAACCTCTGTAACATTATCATGGAACACACTAAATAACAGATAAAAATTAAGATACAAAATAATATAAAAAATATATAATTTTTACTTTTTAAACTAATTTAAAAAGCTAAAAGATGAAAATACCGATATGCACTAGATACAACTGAATAAAAAATTACCGAAGAGTGTTTATTTGTCTGGATCGACTCAGTCGTATATCTGTCTGAAACTTCATTTTGAAATCTGGAAAAATTAACAAAAATATCAATCAATCAATCAATCAATGAATCTGTCAGGATCCTACAGCTGCAGATATCTTGTGTCTCAAGGTTGCCATGGTGATCAGTATTGCCTCCTCACTTCGTATTGTTCTAGAACCCTAAAATTAAAACACGGAGATTGAAAAAAATTTATAGAAAATTGCTGATTTCTGAAAAAGAATATTTCATCCTTCTCTTATTAAAATCTGGGTATATTACTAGTTATCTATCATAGTCATGAGCAACAGCAAACTTTGAAATTCTCAGATAGGTTCCCATTCAGATTTACACTTGATTTAATTCAACCAATTAAAGGGAGTGATCGAGATTAGTTTCTGTAATCTCTCATTGTTAACAAACATTTTCTGTAGATTTTTTGGAATTTTTATTGAAAAGACGACATTTAAAGAATTTGTAGAAATCTGCGGACAAATTCTTAGAAAATAAGAAATTCAATATAATGATGATAAAGAAAATATTTAATTCTAACTTTGATTTATTGACAATTTCTTTTGAGAAATATGTTCCTAAACATCTAATTAGTTTATTATAGAATTTTTCGTCGCTGTTATTTAAATCTGCGAACAAATTCGTAAAGAATAAGAAATTCAAAATCATGATGAAAAAGAAATAATTGATTCCAAAGCATTGATTTATTGAGAAAATTTTAATTTAGAAATATGTTCCTATACAGCTAATCAGTTTACTGTAGAATTTATTTTTACATTTGTTGTCGTTATTTCATAATTTAAAAAAAATCGATTCTCAAAACGTAACCACCCAAATGGATTATTTTGAACGTCGACTTTGCGTTCAAACTCAGTAATTACACATCATTGTAATGTTTTGTATGTCTGAAATAAATCATTAAAAATTTCTCCTCAATACTACATTCTCAGTTCAACTACCATGCATGGGAGAATGCCGGTCACTCCCTTTAACAAAAAAAATCAAATATCTTGTTGTGAATACCTGACTTGGACATGTATTTATATACTGATCAAACAGATCTTTTGGATCATTTACTTGCAACTGTTCATCAACCTAGAAAACATTTTGTATTCAAGGAACAAAATAACTAAATTAGGCTGATCTTAACTTTATTTCAAATCTTTTATTGTTGAGAAAGTTTGCAAGATAACANTACTTTGCAAGATTTTTTGAAATTTTTAAACCAAGCTAAACCAATCTACTAAATTGCTTTAGACAAATTGATATTTTTAGAATAAGAAAAATAAAAACAAAAAGAGAAATAGTTACAGAACGTACAGAGAGTAGATTCAATACCTATTTTGTGACAAATTTCGAAGTCAGTTTAAATATGTTTTATGTCTTATACAATGAGACTCATAAATGTGGAAAAAGACGACTAACTTCAAGACACACGTAAATATTTTACCCAGAGATTTACAAGAGATTGTCGTCTTCATATTTCTCAGTTTTATGAGTCTCAGTGTACATAAATATATAATTACCTCTAAGGCTGCCTCTATTCCTCCAACCCCACCAAACACAATTAGAAGATGTTTAAACTCAGGCAGTGTACAATCATCAACATCAGTTCCCTTTAAAAAAGAATTGTTGTCATAATCTCGAGTGATCCATTTCACTTACCTTTACCTTTCTAATTGAAAAAAAACTTTGGATAGATTATACATTCCAAAGAATGTATAGACTTTTCGTAACCCCAACTTTAGCACAATTTTTATTGCAATTTTGTATATTTTCTTTAACCATTTAAAAAAGGTGAGAATTTAAGCAAGGATGGCTTTTCAATTTCCCCCTCAAGTCAAAATAAAGTTTTTTTTTGTGTGTGTGGGGTGGGAATTTATCCCCTATTTATCTAAAATTGATAAAAAAAATTCTTTGTTAATCCAGAAGTCTCAACTTTTCGTAGAAAAATTACCTGATTCTGTTGTTTCTTTAAGCGTACTTAAATGAAAAAGTCACATAAAATTACGCTGACAGTTTCTTTATACCTTTATTATTATTCAACGAAATAATAAAAAAAAGATTGCAATAAAAAGAGCTGCAACTCTGGGCAATATGCGTAATAATTGGGAGAAACAAAAGCAGGAAAATGCGTTTTCCCCCTGTCTACAAGAGACTAGAATGCGTAGAGCTACAAGAGAGGATCAGAAAACAGATGTATGATCAGCTAAAAAGAAGATACAACAGCCAGAGAGACTAAATTTACTCCGCTTTTTAAAATTTTTGTTAAAATTGAAATTACAAAATAAATTATTTAACGACAATTTGACAAATGTACATTAAACGAATTTAAGATTTTTAAAGAAAAGAAACATTTTACCTTCTCTGAAGTTCCAAGAGTAAGATCGTAACCATCTGGGAAAGGACATCCTGTTAGAACACTTGAAAGATCTTTTGCTATTCTTACAGTGTATCCCCAGTACAATCCTAAAATAGCATTGATTAGTTATCTACAATAAAATAAAAATAAAAATAATAAAAAACTTGCGACTAGTAATTTTAACTTTAGCAAGCAAGAATCCCTTCGTCAGCAATAGCTATAAAATACGACTATCAATGCACCAATTGTTCATGACACCAGCTCTCCGTAACCTACAACACTGATCAATAATCCAGGGGGGGGGGGCCGGATTCATTTTAAGGGGGTTTCGTCAGTTTTTTGATATTACAAAATGAAACATCATCATCAAACATCTGTAAATCTATCCAGACAGACAAGGAGAGATCACAACAAATTCTAACAAATTAGGGAAACCTAACCTGCTTTAGTTCTAGGTTCACTTGGAGATACAACTTTACCAGATAACTTCTTATCCCATTCATAGTCATCACTTCAAACAAATAAACACATAATAATCCAAAAATATTGTGTACAATTTACATTACACTGTACGTACAACATATCACTTGTTTAGACTTGATATTTACATTCTCGTTAGTAGTCTTTTAATATTATAATTGAGAAAACAATTATTTAAATGGAATCCAGACAACAGAACACGACATTCTTTTACTGAGTGCACAAAATCATTAAAAAAAATTACCTTAATCTGACAGTTACCCTCATTCCAGGCTTTATACTACGCTTAATCATACAATCCCCTGAAATATTGATGATTTTAAAAACACAGATCTGAGAATTCTCAAAATTTTCTCAATTAAAAAACGGCAGTTGTTGCTGATCTAGTCAGAAAAAATTCAATAGATTTTAAAAGTTACTACGTTAGGGGATACGTATTTAATACAATTTTGAAAATATCATTATTCAATTCATTACTTTAAGATGTAATCTTAAATCCAACTATGTTAGTTTACAGGATTGTTAAAAGCTTGAAAAATATCTTAAGACAGATGATTTAGGTTTAAAACATAAAACATTAATAAATCATAAGAAATTCTCATCCTTTTCAAACTAATTAACAATTTCATGTCATCAATTAAATACCTTTGAGTCCAATATTGACAAAGCAGGATCCTTCTTTGGCTGGTCTATCCGTTACTATTCCTTCTCTGTATAAGCTAGACTCTTGAGTTCTAAAATGAAATCTTTAATTTCAAGAACAAATTTGATTTCATTTTCATGAAAAAGCCAAAAACTATTTTAGAAAAAAATATCTTTAAGGGAGTGACCGGCAATGTATGGTGGTTGAACTAAATTTGTAGTATTGTGGAATTTTTTTTTTTAGAATTCATTTGAGACATATAAAACGTTTTTACGACGTAAATTTACTAAGTTTGAGTGAGTTGATAACGACGACAAAAAATGTAAACAAAATTCTACAGTAAACCAATTAGTTGTTTAAAAACAGATTGAGAAAATAAAAATTAACTCTTATTATTGAAAATAAGTAATCTTATTCAATTGCTAGTTTCTATAATCTTTCATTATTCACAAAGATTTTCTATAGATTTTAAGTTATTTTTATTGAAAACACGATATTTAAAGAATTTTTAGATCAAATCAATAGAAAATAAGAAATTTAATGTAACGATGAAGGAAATAATTGATTTTATCATTGATTTATTGAGAAATTTCTTTCGAGAAATATGTTCCTGAACATCTAATTAGTTTACTGTAGAATTTTTACTTTATTTTTCGTCGTCGTTATTTAAATCTGCGAACAAATTCGGAAAGAATAAGAAATTCAATATTACGATGAAAAAGAAATAATTGATTCTAAAGCATTGATTTATTGAGAAAATTTCAATTGAGAAATATGTTCCTAAACATCTTATTAGTTTAATAGAATTTTTACTAAATTTCTTGTCGTCGCATTTAATGAACAAAAAACCCGATTTTGAAAACTTTCCAACCAAAATTCATGATTTTGAACGTCGACTTTGCACTCTGACTCAAACTCAGTAATTATGCATCGTAGAAACGTTTTATATGTCTCAAATGAATCTCATTTTTTTTTCTGCAATACCGCATACTCAGTACAACAACCATACAGTGCCGGTCACCCCCTTTAATCAAATTAAGTTAAAAATGAATTTTATTAAAGACATCTATTTTCAAAAATGTCCGATTCACAACGGTACCCTTGAACCATTTATCTGATGAATAGTGTAGAAGATATTGTAGTTTTTCTCGGTATAAGTGTTTTATTCTGATAAATCTAATTCATACTTGATCAAACAGCTTTGGTACTGTTGTGAATAGGGCATCAAATCAAAACAAATCAAATCAAATCAAATCAAATCATGAATGTTGGGGAAGCTTAAGGCTCCATTTCTCAACCTAGAGTTTCAATTCCTGAATGAGAAATGGTTTTTCAGCCCGGATTTGAACTCAATTCTGACTTTTACAATGTATCTAGTTGGTGACAAAATCCCAGCAACACGACCAAGTTTGAGCCATGCAACCATTTTTGGCACCCATTCATTCATGAAGGATCATCATTATGGTAAATATGAATGAAGGGGAGCCCCCCACGATGGTGTGCTTTGTCTCTGCTATGTATTGCCAACTTTACAATACATTGAGGACCACTTGAAATACACTTAAACAGTCAATTTAAAATAGCAATAACCTGCTGTATATTTACCTGAGATGATGTGGCATATCAGTAAGATTGAGTACCCCAGCGAACTGGAGATCCTTGTGGATCGGGAAAATAACTTGCTGTATATTTACCTGAGATGATGTGGCATATCAGTAGGATTGAGTACCCCAGCGAACTGTAGATCCTTGTGGATCGGGAAAATAACTTGCTGTATATTTACCTGAGATGATGTGGCATATCAGTAGGATTGAGTACCCCAGCGAACTGGAGATCCTTGTGGATTGGGAAAAAATGCTTTCTGAATACGCAAATACCTTTATTGAAATTGCAGCAATAAATCTATTGAAAGGAACATTGATATTTTGGAAATAATCTTGAAATCGTTCGAATTTTTAAAATTATTCAATATTCAAACAAAATTTTCTTTTTTTGTCATGTTCATTGTCCACAATGTACAACTTAAAAAGTAATATTTCTTAAATTTGTATTTTTGTTCATTGTTTTTAAAGGAATGTGTTCCTAAGATATTGAGGGCACTCAAGGTACTGAAGTATCTTTGATAACTGTTCACAACCACGAGACTTCTTTACTCTAAATAAAGGTTAATAAAGTTGGTTGCAATTAACAATTCTTTTTCATTAAGGACAGAGGTATATGATTTCTTTGAGGGGATTAAGCCCACAATGCCCCCTCCTCCAAAACAAATTTCTACAAACACCCCAGATAAAAGAGTATTCTTTTTGAGTATCTGATTAAGTAATAATTATATTTGACTGTAATTTTCGGGTTCTGAAAAAGCGGAAGAAAACACATCCAGTACGTTGCAATACCTATCTTGCACTTTCCACTAAATGCACAATATGTTTTGTCAATAAAACCCTTAACCCCATTCCTAACCTGGCGATAACAAAAGAAACCCTTGCCTCAACTTTAAATTTTCGAATCCCAGAATCAAAATTTGATTATTAAATTTAAAGAATTGTTTGAAATACCAAAGGTATACTCTACAGCATCATGATGCAAACACATAAGTATTTAAAATTTGAGATATTTTCAATTTTGTTAAAATCCTTAAAAATATTAAATTTAATTAATTTAAAATATTTTACTACTTACACGAGGTCACTGTTAATTTTATCTTTTACTCCTTCGTCATCGTAAACAACAACTTCATCAACACTAAACACTGCAGCGGCCCGGGCAACCTGACCAGCTAATAAAACGAGATGAAAACTAATTAAAGAACAATTTCATTGCTAGGCTTCCATGACGATCTGCGCAGTTATAGCAAATCTGGGCCTGACAGGTTCAACCCGTATGACGTTTATTGATTACAAAAAAAAACAAAAAAAGAAAAATATATAAATGGAAGTGACAACTCTGGTGCTTTGCTAACGAATTTTAGTCTTTGCTTAAAGTCAAATGAATTTGATCTCTACTAATTAGAAATGTTTTATATTTTTATAACAAATTATTAGATTCCTAAGTATGTTCTCAGTTCAGGGGTTTGTGCATTGTCCAGGATAGAACCAGGAACAGCAATACTAAAATAAAAAATCTAATAAGGTTTCCGAGAAACCACAAAATTAGGAATCTTTTCATTTTAGGAAATTTTTTAATTAGGAACTTTATGAGGTTTCAGAAAATACTAAAAATACGAAATTTGATGAGGCTTTAAACTATACTTAATCAATTAATTTTGGGCTTAAAATATTATATCAGGCATTATTAGTTTTAAAAGCATTCTTATATTTAAAAATAAATCAAGTTTCGGAGGAGAGAGGTTGCTGAACTACTGTTTAAAATCCTGAGTCACCGATTCAAAGTTAAAGAAAATGATGAGGATTTTAATCGGTGATTTGAGATTAATTTATAAAATTTGGTTCCTGATTTCCAAAATTCTTTTGAGTCTAGAGCTAATTTTCAGAAAATAATTATAAGATTACGAATCATTATACCAAAAAAGACACACTAGAAACAATTTAACAAACCTTATAGTATAATTTCTTCCTTTCACGTCTGAACTTAACTCACTGAAGAAACATCAAAGATTATTATTGACAAATTATTTTCGTTTCTGGAATAAATTACATTTTTTAAAGATAATTCAATATTAAGTTGGCTTAAGGGGGACGCCCCCCTTGGATAGTTGGGGGCACGTCCAACTTTCAGGAAAAATTAGTCACTAGTGGCGCAAAAAGATTTTTATAAAAATATAAAAAATAAATCAATACTCATTTAACACATTTCCCACTTCCACCCCCAACTTGTCAGGGTTTGGACATAATAATAATAATGACCAAGTTTCTTCTGGAATAAAATTATTCAATTATACCCCTCTCCTGAAAAATATCGTAAGCCACCCCTGAAAAGAGGGTGACTAAAAAGCTATGAATGTTTCCTGATAATATTTTTTGGAACAGGTTTAGCGGAGTTCGAAGCAACAGATTTCATAAGTTCTCTTCTCTCCAGGTTTTTAATTATTTTCTCAGCAGTCCGCTCTTTCTTCTCCTTCTTCAGTCTCTTCAACTCCTGGCAAAACCAGTTCATTACAAAAATTTAAAAAAAATGTTACAAATTGATGATGTTCAAAAGATTAACATTAACATTAACGTCAACGTCAACGTCAACGTCAACGTCAACGTCAACGTCAACGTCAACGTCAACGTCAACGTCAACGTCAACATAAGATTAACATTGTCAGTTAAAAGAAAATGTACAAAATACAAAGTTAGGACCAAAATATCCAGAAAAGAATAGTCAAATCAACATAAGCCACCGAAATTGTGCATTTAACTTAATGACTGATTAAATACGTTGATGGTATAACTATTTAATTCAAAACTACTTCAAAAACAATAAAATATTGCTAAAATGTCGTCTTCTTATTCCATAGTTTTCTGGTTCTTATCAAAAATTACATTTTTGGGCATACAATTAGTTTTAAAAGGTTACAAATAAAAGAAAATAATCCAAATGTAACATTGCCGACCTAAATTTTCCCGCAAAAATAATGCGAATTGAGCTGAAAACTTTAGGCTCCGCATCAAAATTATATGGATCCTTAGCACTGAACCAAAGTCAGCTGTTCACAAGCCGGCATTTAGAGCATTTTAACAAATATAAATTTTTGATTATCATGTTAATATGAACTTAATAAAAAACATATTTTATTACATTTAAGGAGAGTTGGTTCTTTTGAACATTAGTCTTAATAAACAACAATAAAAAATTACATTTCTTTAGTCGATCATTAGTCAAATTAATATGATTCCACAAATGCGGGAAAATCAAATATCGGTCTTTTAAAAGTTTAAGAGCGCATCTCTAATAACTAGAAATTAATCTAAAGACTAAATTAGGCTTCAGATTAGCAAAGAGAGAGGATCAAGCATTGATCTCGATATCAACCATTCTAAAGTTTTCAGCTCTGATTACATTAAGTTTACAATCTCCATTTTCCATCACGGAAGTTTTTTCAATTAAAAGTAAAAAATTAGGTTCCTTGGTTGGTAAAATTTTATGCTTTTCCATTTTATCTGAAAATTATAAGAAACTAAATAAACTGAGTATTCAGAACAAAAATGAAAAATATTAATTATAAATAAATGCTAGAATAGTCAAAGCATGCAGCTACCACAAAGTTGAGGATTGAAAGACATTTTAAAAACTCAACAATATACCGACTGATTTTTTCTCATAACACTAAAAGATTTCTAAGTATTAAAATTTTAAGGTTTAAGCTAATATTAAAGGACTCCTTTTTCTTTGGCGTAAAGTGATGAAGTATTAACGGAGGGTTTTATATCACAGCTACATAGTTAGAGAGCTAGACTGGAACTGTTGGCAGGATGAGGCTGAGGAGAACTGTATCTGCTGAGTAGAGATGGTTTGAAGGTCGGAGTAGAGGAAGTATCCTTGCACTCTCTCCCCCCGCAGACACTGAACCAACCACTCCGCGTTATCCCTCCACATATGGGAGAACGGCATATCTAATCATATTTTTCATTCAAGACACTCTAACCAATCAAGATTTTACACATAGAATCCCTCCTTATCACCAATCCTTTCGCTTTCAATCAATTAACTCTCCCAAAGGAACTAAACGCCTGCCCCAAGTTTTCTTTTCTAATCATTATATCTTTGAAAATGGTGTCATAGATCTACCAAAGGTTTTCACTATTTCAGTTGAATAAAAAGAAGTTGAAAAATTAAAACTAGAAATATTAAAGGAGATTAAAACAAAACCTAACTAATTAAAGAAGAAAATGACAATAAGTTTTTAGATTAAAAATGAGTGAATGAATAAGATCCTTGAATGTTGAACCACTCCGGTCTAATTTCTGAAGTACATCTTGGTTCTCCAACCCAACGCAATGCACGGAATATATGAATCTAAACAAAATTACCCGTCAAAATCTAAGCTTCAGTGATAATCATAAACTGTGAAGTAGGAAGACGACCGATGGGACACAAGATATAAAAATTAATTAATGGGTGTTTTACTCAAATCGTTATTGGGCCTGCGTGATGTGAGGAACTTTATCTTGGAATCCAACTACGAGACCTATCTAACCTGCATGATATGAGGAACTATGTCCTCGAGTCCAACTACTAGATCTGTCTAACCTGCATGATATGAGGAACTAGACCAGGATCTGAGAACTCATATTCAATATATCCTGCAGGAACTATATCCTGGAGTCCAACTACTAGCCCTGTTTCCTCTTCAAGCTCTCGTATTGCAGCTCCCTCTAAACTCTCATTCTTCTCCACCTATTAAAATCTATTTAAGGACGTAACTTTAAGTGACCCTCCGATCTCCATTATAGATTGGAATTAATGAGATATCCTTTAAATATCTGGAAAATTGATCAATTTAAACTGAGGTTCTACATAGAAAACCGCCAATATCTTCCTCATTGTAACTAGGATAAAAAATTTATGGGACACCGTTGTGAATCGGACATTCCACTTTTTTTTAAAACACCACCAAGAAACGTCAAAAATGACTGATGAAGTACAGTGGGACTCAAATGAAATAAAATGAATTCAGACCTTAAGGACTGTCCTACTTCAATTCCACTCTAGAATTCCAAAATGACTTTACTACTTTTAAGCTGTGGAGTATGAATACAACAATAAGAATCAAGTAATTGGTTGAACTATCAATAATTGAAAAACAATCCAATTAACATACGAGGGGTTACAAGCAGTCTTCCTATATTCACCATGTATAAAAATGGTTACCTTTCCAGCGAATGTATGCTGCCACAGACCTGTTCCAAACCCGCGTAGTTTCATCCCTAATAGTACACTGTTATCCCTTCATCCAGACAATAATATTGTATACGAGGGGAAAATTATTTATTGCGATTGTTAGTTTTCATGAGCTTTTTCTTCTTTTCTTCTGTAATTATTAATCATAACGACACAATGGGGAAACATATAAAACAGAGAAATCAGCATCTATAGTTCCAAGTTTCCAAGGTTTACAATTGGGGGGGGGGGGGGCACTGTATTTTAGCCCCCTGTATTCATACACCCATGCATGATTTAAGTCTCATTTCCCAAGATAATATTGTCTGCCTTGTTATCTGTACTCCTGCATAAACAACTCTAGGTTTCTCTGGGTCAAAATACATTTTCTCTTCTTCTCATCTGAAACATGGATTCTATCTTACATATTCTAAATATGCAGAATAAAAGTGGGAACAATTATAAAAATATTTACAACTTTAGATTAATTATAATACTATGTATTTTAATGGATTATCATACAAGGATTAACAACTCAGGATTTCAAGTATAAAATATTCACAAAACATTAGTTTGTAAGAGAACATGATAAGGTGTTTAAACCAGCAGAATACAAAATGATTTTTTTATAATTTTACAAATTCCGAATAAATGCACAATAATAATAAAACAAAATTTGTAGGAACATTTTAGGTTAATTATGTATTTGTTTAGGATCCTAATATTTGGTCGAAATTCTAGTTTGAGTTAACAGAATTAATTGAAAAAAAAACTTTTTAAGAATAAACCAGGGATACTCCATGTAGGTTTCCAACCAGGGATACTCAAGGTAGGTTTACAACCAGGGATACTCCAGTTAGGTTTACAACCAAGGATACTCCAGGTAGGCTTACAACCAGGGATACTCCAGGTAGGCTTACAACCAGGGATACTCCAGGTAGGTTTACAACCAGGGATACTCCAGGTAGGTTTACAACCAGGGATACTCCAGGTAGGTTTCCAACCAGGGGATACTCCAGGTAAGTTTACAACCAGGGATACTACAGGTAGGTTTCAAACCAGGGGATACTCCAGGTAGGTTTACAACCAGGGATGCCAGGCAGGATCCATCCGACAGAGATTGTCAGCACTACAAGCTGCAGCAACCAGGGTTCCAACCTAAAAAAAATTTAACCAAATGAGCAAAGAATAGAAACATGTGAGAATAAATCTAAATTCGATACTGGTTCCCGAAATTTACGAATATAAAACCCACCTTACTCTCTGTACCATCAAACTGTGAGAGAGACTGGAGACGAGCTGTGATCGCTGTTAGAGCTTTTCCAACCATTGAGATTATTATTTCTCCGTCCTTATTCTCAGGCTAAACAAATCACATTTTATCTTAATTTAACAAACTAGAAACAAAAATCACAAATCAAATCAAATCAAATCAAATCAAATCAAATCAAATCAAATCAAATCAAATCAAATCAAATCAAATCAAATCAAATCAAATCAAATCAAATCAACGAAATAATATTCGTTAAGGGACTGTAAACGTAATTTTAAGTTGCCCTCTATTTACAGAGTGGCGTGACCGATAACAAAATTGGTTATTTTTAATTGGTGTTTCACTTCAAAAAAGTGACTTGTGGATTTACAAAAATAACTTCATAAAATTTTTGACCATTGTGAATTGGTCTTTAAATTACAAAAATAGTCGTCTTATAAGATAATATTTATATTTGCGTACTGTAAACTGTTTAGTGGTCTAATCATTACCTGCTGCTGACCATTTGTATCAATAATGGTTGAAACATTAGGATCTGAATTCTTCTTGTGCCAGCTTATCATCTCATCACGTAGAACTGCACGCAGCAATGCCTGAAATAATCAATAAATAAGTAACTAGATGAATAAGAAATATGGAATAAAAAATTAAAGGAGGAAAGGAGCTCGAGAAATCAAGAAGTAGAAGAATAAAGGAAGTAGAAATAAATAAATCAAGGAATAAACGAAAAAATGAGTAAGTGAATGACTAATGTGGAATGGTAGAATGAACAGCTTGTATTGTAACCTGTATTTTGAATGACGGATGGACGAGACATCTAGCGGCAGCAATCATACTCGCAGTAAGAGGACCGGATACACCTACGTTAGTTATCAACTCTGTCAGGTTTGGAGTTAACCTGAATGGAACTGGTCTGTTAGCCTCAAGCTCCCCAGTAACATCATCTATGTCGAACTTGAAGTAGGAAATATTCAGCAGCCCGCTGTCCTGAAATATAAAAAAATTAAATTTAAAATCTAATGGAAATAAAATAGAATGAAGTATTGAGAAAATAAAAACTAAATAAAATTAAAACAGTTGAAAAAATTTAAAAATAAATTAATAATCACATCACATCACATCACATCACATCACATCACATCACATCACATCACATCACATCACATCACATCACATCACATCACATCACATCACATCAAACCTTCCTCCATCCCTACCTGGTGTATATAGAGAATTTCTGGGTTAAGTCTGGTCAGATGAAGAACGTACTCTGTGAACCCGGCCAGAGCCAGCTGTAGAGTTAATACCTACACATTTTGTTCAAATTAATAATTTAAAAAAAGGAAGTGTTGAAGAAAAAAGTAGCAATATTTATAAGAATGTTAACTACATAGTTGTCTAAAAATGCAAAGGTGGGATCAAAACTTTAAGAGAGATTTAGATTTATGAGTTAGCCCCTGTCCCGGTCCCTAGTCCTAAATTCCTGGGTCCTCCTAATTTGGCCCTTACCCTTCTCTTGTGTCCAAGTGTTAACAGTTTGAACAAACCTTTCTAAAAGTCCAGTAGTCTGTAGCAGACTGGAAAGTGGAGGAGGCCCATTCTCTCACCAACGTTCTCGGAACCATGGAGGTCTGAACCTCTTTCAAGATGTCACGAAGCACCTACAATTAAGCAATTAAGACATATTTTTTAAAAGAAGTTTAGTGATTAACATAACATTNCCTTCTTACAAAGGTTTTAGTTGAATTAGATTTATATGTTTTTTTTCCAGGAAATTTTCCAGGGGGTTGCTTACTGCTTAGCCCCCAGACTCTTATTTGCACCCCTGGTTTTAATTAAACAAAACCCCCCCCTGACAAATTTCTGAATGTGACCCTGAAAGCAAACGATTGGTTTAAGTGCAACTGACCGTGTGGCTGGCCTGGCTTCCTCTGGCTTGAACTGATGATAATCTCTCGTAGTATTTATTGATTGTATTCTGGTAATCATATTGTCGTTTAGCACACCGCTGCTTATATATAGACAACAAACTAAAATATAGACAACATATAAATGATTTTCAAAAAAAAAGTTAAACGTTATAATTATCAAAAAGACAAAAGTTTTCTATACTGTATAACAAATAACAAATGATTACTTATCCAACACCAGAAGTTTACCATTATATAGATAAACAACTAATAAATTGTCAGCAAAAACAAAAAGATCAACATTTTTTACAAAAATCAAACAGAATTCTAGCTAGACAGAAGGGAATGGGATGGAAGGTCACTTTGAATTAAGTTAGCAGTCCCTTTAACAAAATATTAAATTAATTGTATTTATGTTTACCTAATACTGTTGGTATTATCCTGAACTAGACGCATCTGTGGACTGACCGCTACAACCCTCGCTACAGTCACGTTCAGGAACCTTCTACTCGTCTCCTTATGCTTGGCGAGCAAATGGTTGAGCATGCGCAGAAGCTGGAGCACGCGCTCTTCACGCCTGGCATCTGAGAGCCCACTGTCGTTGACAACGAGGTAGGGATAGATTTTCCCATTGTGTCCACGGATATATAATCTACGGGCTGCTGCACCATGCTTGTTTACTATCTCAACCTTAGAATTGTTTATGTTACAGTCTGTTTTTCTATCAGTTTTCAATCTTCTGGAATTTAGCTTTTCCTCCAAAATATAAAATAAGAACTTTTATTTTAAAACATCTTGAGTAAACTAAGTGAGCAAAATTTATAAGAATTATTCCACCATTAAATAATAATTTATCACTAAAAAGTATAAATACTACCTTTGGCATAAATCTCTGAATGCAAACGTAGTAGTGTGAGTATTTAGGAAGTAAGAACTCTCCAGGTAGCTCCACCTCTGCAGTAGACCTGGAGAAGTTGGAGAGAAACCTACACTTCTCCTCTATCAAGAAAGAGTTAGGCAGAGTCTTGGTTTTGGCTTCCAGTATTTTGATCCATTTCTTAAGTTTAAGAATCAGGTTCTGAAGTTTCATTGCGCCCGGAACGTTGAAATCAAAATCAGATTTGAACTGGTTTTTCATTCTCTGGAATACAGGATCCTGAAGGGTTGCTTGAGATCTACGATGCATGGCATCATTCCCAGAGCTATAGTTTCCTCCAACAGTGTTTCCAACATTCTCAACTCCGATCCCGAAAGTTGAAACAACTTTTTTGACAAAATTTAGCATATGAGGTGTAATTGTGGCTTCACTGATCGATGCACGATTGTCAAAAGATATCGCGTAACACTTGGCTAATCCTGCTCTAAGCTGTCTTTGTACTTCCTCATACCAATTCTCTCTGAACCAGACCATCTGATCTACTATACCCTCCAGGCTAGATAGTACTGTAGGGTGCAGGTCCCTCTGCATATGCATGATCTTAGAACATCTCCACATAGGAGCAGTGGCACGGATAGGTCCTGTCTCACTGCTAGTAGCAGCAGGTTCAGCTTGTTGGCTGGGACTACTTGATCTTCTCTCACTTTGCTCTCCAGCCTTTATCCTCTCCCTCTGTTCTATCTTGAGAGTAAGGTACAAGGTTCTGATGGGAAAATAAACTGCCTGGGGAAACATTCTACCAACTTGGGACAGTAGGTTCAACAGAGGTTTCCCTTCAATCCTGACTAGGCAGGTTAGAAGCTGAGGGATCCAGGGCAGCCATTGGATCGGAGGAACCCCGGTCATATATTTATCAACAGCCTCAGCTAGCTGGAGCTGTTCATCATCATAGGTCAGCAACCAGATTACTTTAGCCAAGTACTTTCTTGACTTTGATTCATTCTGTTGCCTGCAGGCGTGTAGGTAGCAGGTGATTGCTTCAACACCATACTTCATTTGCCTACCACCAGATTCTCTCGTGAATAGATGCTCCAAATAATCTCCCCAGAAAGCCCAAGCTTTAACTAGTGTGTCATGCATCTGAACAGCGGCACTAAATGCTTTATTAGCTTCTTCAGATCGTGCTATTTGTGCTAGGAGCATACCTTTCATTGCATAGAACTCTGCAGTCATCTCCCTGGTAAAATATTTGAGGTTTGTCGACTCAATGACCTCCAGTCCCTCTTGAAGCTCGTTCTTCCCTCTATCCACCGCCATCTGTACATAACACTTGACCTGCTGCCTGATCTTCTGGAAGCAGTCAACTATTGGCACACTAGTGATTGTGTAGATCTTAGACAAACTGTCTAGACATACCGAAGTGAGGTTCTGTTTCCTCGCCACCTTACCAAAGTGTATAATAGCCTGAGCTGAAGCGTGAACGCCAAGCATACTGTGATTACTCGCCTGATCATTCTCTTGGTGATAATGACTGGCAATGAATTGATAGTGCTGCTGTCTCCAGGTAAATATCTCGTTCCAATGACTGAGATTATCGCTGATGATAGGAAGTCGATTTTTCCAGGTTTTAACAATTGCTTTCATATCCTGGAGACTGTTCTGTCGACCATGTAAGAGACCTTGATGAATCTGCGCAGCCTCCTGGAGTTCCATAACCTGCTGTGCAGCCTGCAGGAGAGGAAGATGGATGTGAGAAACTAGCTTGGGCAATCTCTTCCACTCTCTCATAGCTAGGGAACTAGCATGCTCAACATATCTATCCACCATAGCTAGATGGGGATCATCAGGGGAGCAGATAGCAAGATATCCTCGGTATAGGTTAACCTTCCAAGCTATCTCACGTGGGCTAGCCTGCTCTACCTGCTGCAGAGCATCCTTCATGGTTCCCCACTGGTTGGAAACCCTCCAGGCTGCTTCAACTATTAAGCTCGGGTTACTAATACCACTCGAGTTTCCATATTCCAACAATGTTTCCCATTGATTTAACTCCTTGCTGCATTTGAGCCAGTGCTCCTCCCACAACTTTACCTCCTGCATTACTGTGGTGGAGGCAGGCTTGGTGTTAACATCATTCCTAAACTTAGACATAGCAAGCTCATAAGCTCCCTGGGCCTGCTCGAAAAACCCTTGCTGTTCATAGGCAATGGCAATATTAGTCTCGTTATACTTGGCCTTTTTTATCCAAAGTCCAGCCCACATATCCTCCTCATGGAGTAGATAATACAGCTCAGATAATCCATCCAGGGCCTCCTGAACTGGGGTAGCTGAGACTAAAGCGGAGGATGTAGAGGGTCCAGGTTCAAAATCAAACACCTCCTGTTGAACAATCTCCTTCTTAGGTTTGAGAACATCTCTGGGAGTTGGATCGAAAGCCTGCTGCTCAAGAAGAAGAGTTGTCCTGTGCCAGAGATTGTGAGATTTACCAAGATATTTGAGTAAAGTTGCAGGGATAGCTATCCCAGGTTGACATCTTGACAGCGCTTCTACAAATGTGTTGAGTGAGGAGGGCTGACAATCTTTCTGTATTACATGGCTCCCACTGCAGATGAAAGGGATTATCTCCGAAGCAAGAGTCTCCCTCTGTTTGTCCAGCAGGATGTTCCAGACTCTGGGGAAGAGGTCCAGCCAGAGGCGCTCTGCGAGGTTAGTGTCCATATGGCACATCTGAGATGTAGCATTTAGGAAAGTGAGAGTTTTCACCTCTTTAACGGAATCCATAAACTTATGCTGCCTGAGGACAAGGTTGTTCAATCCGTTCACACCATTCGAACCTAATTAATTTAAATGTTTAAAGGGAATGTTAGCGTAATTTTAAATGACAAGAAGACAATACCCGATTCACAACAGTACTCTTGAAACCTTAATCTGATAAAAACTGTTGAGGATAGCACCGTTTTTTAACTCTCAAAGTATTTATTTCTGACAATTTCTTTTTTGCTTTTTATTAGCAAGAAATGTGCAGAAATGTGCATTGTGCAAGTCTCTTTTTACAGAGAACCAGCAAAGGAAAATAAAAGGTTTAAAGAAACAAACATACTTTAACACACAAAGCTTTAAAGGGTATCGTTGTAAACAGGGCATAACCACCTTTGCATGGATGGTCACTTGAAATTACGCTTACAGTCCCTTTAAATAAAGTATAAAGAGTAATTGTGTAACATATTGAATTAATTAAACTTATTTAAAAACTTTATTTAATCATATTTTGACTTGACTTAAAGTCAAATGACCAATGGTTAAGAACAATAATACCAAGAACAACAAAACATTTTGGTTCATATGATAATGAGCAAAAAATAATTAAAGGATATTTTTTTTTCTTCTACAGACCATTGTTCCCAACAAATTCAAAAATGTTCCCATTAAAATTTTCGGCTTCATAAACAAGAATAAAAAGTCATTTTGGAAGAGAGGGGTAAAAACTATAATAAAATAAATAAATATATAAAATATGAAAGCTTTCAGTGACATAAGTTTTAAATAGTAAAATCTAGCCACTTGAAATATATAATGAGGAATACTGAGAAACTTTAATAAGCAACTTTATATTTATGAAATTTTGACATGAATTAAAATATATGTCCAATGACCATTGATCAAAACAAAAAAAGCAAAAAATACAAAGACATTTTGAATCATGTCATGAAAAAAATGAGCGAATAAATAAAGGGGGAATTGATGTTTTTTTATTGTTTATGACCAACAAATTCAATAACTTTCCCATTCCCATGTTTAAAATTCAGCTTCATAAATAAGAATAAAAAATCATCTATCTGTGAGGATAGAGGAAAATTAGGATATTTATGAAATATGAAAGCTTAAACTGTTATTAGTTTTAATAATAAAAATCTAGCCCCAAAATCTTTACCTTTTCCTATTTCCTTCTTGACATCAACTGACCCAGGTCCATGAACAGATAAATCTCCAAGATCTGTCAGATCACCTTCAGTCTGACTCTCCATACCATCACCATCATTATCCTGGGAATAAAAAAATTAAGATAGAAAATTATAAATACGGTGAAAGTGGTCAAAGGTAGTAGGGCTACAGGAGGGGGGGG